ACCACCAAATAACACTAAACTTATTCTACCACCAAATAACACTAAACATATTCTACCAGCAAATAACACTACCATTTATTCTACCACCAAATAACACTAAACTTATTCTACCACCAAATAACACTACAGCTGATTCTACCACAAAATAACACTAAACTTATTCTAACACCAAATAACACTACAGCTCATTCTACCACCAAATAACATAAACTTATTCTACCACCAAATAACACTAAACTTATTCTACCACCAAATAACACTACAGTTTATTCTACCACCAAATAACATTAAACTTATTCTACCATCGAATAACATTAAACATATTCTACCAGCAAATAACACTACGGTTTATTCTATCACCAAATAACACTAAAATTATTCTACCACCAAATAACACTAAACTTATTCTACCACCAAATAACACTACAGCTTATTCTACCACCAAATAATACTAAACTTATTCTACCACCAAATAACACTAAACTTATTCTACCACCAAATAACATTAAACTTATTCTATAGCTGAATAACACTACAGCTTATTCTAAGCTCATGTATGGTTTAACTTCCAATAACACAAGGAAAAACAACTTTAAAGATATCTTTTGTTGAAAGTGAAAGTAAAAGTAGGTTTAGCAGGTCCTTGTCCATACTGAAGGTATATATTGTGTTATATATACAGTGTATGTCATTATTGAATGGGATGTGACCATCCCGATTACTTCATTAATTACCCTGATGTCCTGGTTCCATACATCAACCACCACACAGATCAATAAGTACTACAATAGTCTACAGGCTTCTATCTGTGACCATCATTTTGATGTCAATCCTAGTATTATCAGAAAAGACAACCTAGATAATGTCAATATTTACACCTAAACAAACAACAGGAGCACATTGTGTAATCGATCTATAAGTGATGAAAAGGTAAAGCTAAGTATCTTGTTACCAGCTGACCATACACGTAACATGCCAAATCTATATTCAGTACAAGTTGAACCAAGAAACTGGTTATACACATAACATAATAGGTAGGCCATTATTATTGACAAAATAGTATTACAGGTATTTTCAACATCACAGGTATGAGACGAAGCAACAGTATTACAGGTATTTTCAACATCACAGGTATGAGACGAAGCAACAGTATTACAGGTATTTTCAACATCACAGGTATGAGATGAAGCAACAGTATTACAGGTATTTTTAACATCACAGGTATGAGAATAACCAACAAAATAGTATTACAGGTACAGAATTATTTTTCCATAAACGACAGAAAAATTTACGCCTTCCTCACAGGGAAAGAGGAGACCCTGGGGCCATGAAATTCACGTTTATGGTATGGCAACTTAAGACGCTTCTGTCATTGAAGAGCATTTCATTCTACCATATCTAGGTGTTGGGAAGAAGATTTTTAAAATTTGAGATAATTTGACAATTTTGGCTCTGTAATAGTCACTATTTTGGTTCATCTTAGGCAAGCGAATCTCTCTGCAAAATTTCATTGAATTCGGTTTAGGGGTTTTTGAGAAGAAGTTGAAAATGTTAAAAGTTTACAAACGCACAACACCAGACAAAGGTGATCGCAATATATAAGTCATCATGAGACTTTGTCTCAGGTGACCTAAAAACAGGAGATAAACAACAATAGAGAACTGGAGTTAATATTTTTTTTTTCTTTTAAACAATTATCACTTAATAAGCATATACATAATCAGGTCAGAACTTCCTTAAGGTCGATTGACCATCTGTCACAAGATCTGAGCACGTTCCTATTTGACCAAGTATAATGGTACATTTTATAGTCTTGTGAACTTTAGGGGCTTTCTGTTTTCCTTCCTTTCACTTTATTACACCTACCTATGATATATGGTTTACATTGAATGGTCAGTGTTGTTATGAAATGTTAAATGAATTTCAAACACATGCGAATTAAACAGTATGCTGAAGTACTCCTAAATATTAATTACATTTCACCGGAGATGATAAGATTTTTAATCCTTTTGCCAGCTCCAATTTTACATCAAGAGTGTACTTGTTTAATATACGTCAATATAAAATAAAATTATGTTTAAACCAGAAATGAGCACAACATCAGGGCCTCCTAAACTTAGATACCCTTATCGTTGTCATACCTATTTGCATAGCACCCTAGAACAAAAAATGTATAACTCCTGAATTTGTCAGTGTAATTGTGTCCAAAGAAGAAGACTGTCTTAGCAGCAACAGTAAGATTCAAATTTATTCAAACAAATAATTGACCGTAACCTTCATTAATTAGGCATGTGGTTTTGTTTGTGCTCTCAAGTGTTCTACAATTTATATTGATTGAGAGTAAACAGCGAACAGCTAAAGCCTAGTTTACTAGGTATTGTACAACTCGACGCCAACACGAATGAGTACACAAGGTCCACACAACATGTGTCTCAAAATGATACCAGCATACTGTTTACAAAATTTAGCTTCAAACTGAGAGTTGCAAGCCAGTTAAATTTCCTTTCTGTGTTGTAAACATAGAATATCAACTAAAAAATTTTTGCTTCAAATTGAATTCCATACCATCTTAATGGTTTCATTTCATTTCTGTGAGAACGTTGACTTATTAAATAACGTTAAAATTTTCGGAACCTATTGTATAATTTTAGGCATAAAAAATCTCATCGATCAATGTTTTTTATTTTAAAGTGCACATATAGATCTATAGGAATGCTTAGGCCAAACAAAAAATTGTATGTTTCCTGTTACAAGCTTCCAAAATTGATAATAAGTATAGGTGCAATGCAGGCAAACAATTTTATCTCATTTGATTATAATTATGACTTGACCACTGCTTTCTTCAGTATATGAACAATAATACAAAGTTTAGAGTAAGGCACAAAAAATAGGGGCTGTATTTTGGGTATTACGCAGGACACAGACAATATTTTTTGTAATGCCTTTTTTCAATAGGATTATTACAAAGGTATATAAACCGTAAACTAAAAAGAGGCCGTGACATAATGTTCTCAATATTCATCTAGCAATTTTTAGACTCAACTTTATAGCTCAATTCATTCATTATTTGATAATCTTTTATTTAAGACTAAATATCAAAGACATTCCAACAACAAGAAAAGCATTAAATTTGGTGTTTCAACAGTTTGTCTCCAAAAGTCTGTCTCACAAAATTTGTCTCACCATCTAGAAATATGTTTTTTCAAGGCTTAAATTTTGAACATGTTCAACGTCTTTGGTTAATCTAGAATTAAGGGAATACTACCTTTAGTGGAAAAAGGGGAGTTTTGGGCTATCAGGAGAAATTGAGAAATTTCTGACAGCTTTTCTGGTCAGAATTCAAAAGAGGGATTGTGTTAAAATGTTTTTACATACGAGTACATGAATATTACATGAAGAAAATATGACAATGCTGGGGTTAGACTGATTTTATTTTCATGACTGCATGATTCGAAATTATGTTAAGTAAATTAATACTAATTAGCTCTGTTTTAGGGAACATTTTCACAATATTTCTGGTAAATTTCCCATGCTTTCAGTAAATTTTCTTGAAAATAAGTTTGTTTATATTAAGGGGAAAACATATCGCTTGGGGATTCTGTCCTCTTTTATTACTGTAGGATTTGTCTAATTTAATCCCTGAATGTGACTATGTCCATAGATGTTCAAAACTAATTGGCATCGACCAAAAAGTAAATGTGCAATAAAATGAACCTTTACAATGAAACAAACTATTGTAAACCATTTGAAATATCTGTGCTAATATACACTGGTTATGAAACCTTTCAAGCTGTTTCATGATGGGTATTTAAATCATAAAAGGAGTGTATAGTACAAGTGTGGAAAGTCACACACTCCAAATGCTAATAAATATGAAAGCTAGTAATTAAAACGGCCTGAATGCTATATTTCTACAAAATTTTAAAAACGTTTCATAACCCATATTTCATAACAATATCTATATGTGTATATATATAGAGCTGCCTTGTTTAATTGACAGAATAATTGAAAAAAAAACAATCAACTATTTAGGTATTATTCAAATTATGTCAACCTATATCAACCAAAACAAATTGATTTTTAAATAACATTATCATACAACGATGAGTTTACGATAAAGACATTCTTTTATGAAGATAATTTCTTGGGAGGGGTCCCAGTTTATCGTGGTTTGTACACACCACTAGGTCACACTCTACAGGTGTGTGAAGGTAGGACATTGTGGGCAAACTTATTACAATCAGTCCAAAATACTTCAGAACAAGGCCACTGCCTAAAATATTCTTATTAAACCAAAACTCTGGAACAAATATGTTATAAACGATCCCTAAAACTTTGCTGTCATGTGACTAGGTCTGTCCGCCATTTTATCTGGTATATAGGTGCAAGACAGGTGTATACACTAAAATGACAGGTGTGCAAATCCTAAATCTACCACACATCTTCTTAAAGCCCACGAAAAGCCGACTTAACGGAAATACCGTTACATATTGATTGCCTCCTAATTGGATATATTACGTCACTTAGCACCCGATTGTACAGGTGTAAACAGACCCCCTCCCCTGTCGGGAGTTATAACACACCTGTACGACGACTTTCGTAAGGACGAAATATTCGTACTCGTCTCAAACTTTGTTTACAACAATCTGACTGATTAGATTTTAACACACATGTTTATCATGGTCGTAATATATAGGGATTAACTTAAACGGGGATAAATAGACATGCAAATATCTATAAATTAGGTTCAAAGTCACTCAACCAAGAGCGAAATCGAAAATTAGTTTGAGAGGGGTCATTCTGGGGGCACCTGCGGGAGTATCTCGCACGTTTGACAAATGACCTTTCTCGCTGTCATGGGGTTTCTACGAAACAGCAAGTTTACATAATCAAGAGAAAGTGAAAATAATATGGTATGCAATATTTGTGACACACATCGCCGTGAAATGCCGATACTAGTTATCACACCGTCCCTGGGCGAGCCCTGTTTTAACTCTTACCTTGAGCTGAGGGTGACAATGCTAGCAGACAGAACACCGCTAGGAATAACAACAATTTGGAGCCGATCGGCCTGTTTCCACGGATCATCCTCCGCATCTTTGGCGGAATAGGTCCTCCAAACGTAAACAATATATCACCACAACTCAGTACATTCAATAACACTGCCGTAAGAACATATTTGTTTAAAATCCAACAGAAGCCATGTGCATGTCCGACGTGTTCCGCGGTTCACTTAGAAATACGGGAAATCTCTCGCTCAGTCAATGAAAACAGGAGAATTATCGTGACGTCACACTGGAGGCCTAAATATAGCACACAGTAGATTCTCATGTTCAGCAATCTAGGGTAGCCCCCCTTGAAACGGAACGACAAGGTTTCAAATCGTGAAATGATTTAATGTTATGTAAAATGTGTAATAAGTAACAGAGCAAACAAGCGATCAATGCTGAATTAAGCTGGGAAGATAAATGCACAAGACATACTTAGACAAGTTATTTTTAGAAATAGTTATATAACATATCTAAACCGCTAAATCTACATGGATTTTAATTCTTAATTCACACCAGGAAAGGAATATAATAGTCTCATAGTTCAAAGGAACCTCTTTACACGTTAGAATAATCACAGGTAAAGCTACATGACGTTTTTCTAATGAACAGACACATCACTGTGGACTTTAAGGCTTAACCAGAGACTCAAAGTCGTTTTTTTCAATTCACGTTGACAATAAACTATAGAGTGCGCTCTGAATGAAATTATCGGTATAATTTATTTGTAATTCTAAGTGACCCACTGGAAGATTTGCCAGACGAATATCTTGCAAAGAGACCAACTATCGATAGTAGGAAAATATTTCATTATTCTTGTTATTTAATTACTTTTATGTCAATATCTCTTCTAGGGTTCGAACCCGAGACCTCTGCATGAATATTTTTTATTCTTAAATCAATCATACAAATATATTACGAGATGTGTGGAAGGAAAAGTTAGTATATTTTTAATTGGATAACTCTCTTTGAATTGTATTATTTGGAGCCGCAATTTCTCACTGCCAAACTGACATTTAAAACACATTCTTTTGAAGTATTTACATTTTCAGGAATTTAAGGTCTCAATACTTTCATTTGTGAAAAGTTCATTTTTTACTGTGACGATTTGTTGTCTGCAACATAATACTTGAGACAGAAGGAATCGTGTTTGTTCATTTTGTACTTGTTCTGACCCTGGTCAATATATTGCTAAGACTATATAGAAAGCTTGTTGATTGTATGTTTTGCATTATTTATGCACAAAGGAGTTACAGCGATGCTTGTGAGATCCAGGCGCCAATGTAACACAGATCATAATATACTTCAATGTTTCCTGGTAAAATCGAGCCCGCCACATCTGTACAAGCTAGCCTTACACCCAAAAGAAGTTTTCTCTAACAAAGTATTATACTGTGTACCAGGGTTGCATTTACACTGCAAAAACTTTTTGGACAATGGCAACAAATCTCCTGGAGTAAGACCAATAATTGGAACAACCGAATAAGGTAACAGCATTTAAGAGCATTGTGACTTCACAATACAGTTGGACCTGTGGCATTTATAGACTCATAATTACGTTGGCTGTCTCGTATTGAGTGATGACGGGATGTTGAAGCTGTTTTGAAGATTTACTGAGATAATAAATGTCAAGGTTTCTTCACGATCAACAGAATATCGATATCCGTTACATAAATCTAGATTAGCTTTAAGTCTTTTCTGAAAGTGCATGCTCCCGAAAACAAGTTAGAAAATCGAAGGTCAGCGTCATCGCAATTATAGAGAGTTGCTACACAGTGCTTTCTCCTTAGTGCTCAATCCGGGAAATCCATGAATTCTTTCTAAATTTGATATTGATGTCATTATTACAATAAATAGAAAAAGATAACTTCAGCACAATATAATTGGTTCTCTCAATATATCAAGTTTCGTGTAGTTTTCATATCTATGGCAAAAAGAGATTTTTATATAAATATATACATGTAACACAATTTAGTTGATAATTTTCAGTGATTACAATCTGGCACCTTTATCAGTCAAGTGTGACAAACAACACATGACATAATCAAATCTATCCTTATCGTAAATAATGTCCGAAATTACTATCGAAACATTTCAAAATAAAAACCAAATCAGGTCCACTTCAATGGTTTATCAGTGATGTTAACGATGTAGAGAACGACAGTCGAAAAACAACTCGGCTCATTGCTCGTTATACTGTGTTTCTTCTTTATGAAACAAATAATGCAGATCACTTAACAACCCCTCGATTTAATGCTGAAAGCACAATATATTGTTTACTTAAGTACCCGCGAAAAAGTCTATAAACACGGAATATAGTTCATTTAATTTCATTCCACACAAAATAATTAACCCTCGTAAAGTAACACAAAATGCAGTTCACTTAACTTACTCTCGGTAAAGTTTATTTAACACAAAATGCAGTTCACTTAACTAACCCTCGATAAAATTCACCCAACACAAAATGCACTTCACCTAATTAACCCTCGATAAAGTTCACTCAATACAAAATGCTGTTCACTTAACTAACCCTCGATAAAGTTTACTTAACACAAGATGCAGTTCACTTAACTAACCCTCGATAAAGTTTACTTAACACAAGATGCAATTCACCTAATTAACCCTCGATAAAGTTCACTCAACACAAAATGCAGTTCACTTAACTAACCCTCGATAAAGTTTACTTAACACAAAATGCACTTCACCTAATTAACCCTCGATAAAGTTCACTCAATACAAAATGCTGTTCACTTAACTAACCCTCGATAAAGTTTACTTAACACAAGATGCAATTCACCTAATTAACCCACGATAAAGTTCACTCAACACAAAATGCAGTTCACTTAATCAACTCTCGATAGAGATAACCAAACATTTACAATACGTAGTTCGTTTACTCACTCATGATGAAGTTGACGTAACTAAACACCAGTTACATTTCGGTAACATCCTAATTATATTTATCGATTTGGTTACGTTTGAGAATTTTCGACATAGTAATAGATGTTGCATTATTATTATTTTATAGAATCAGATCTAATAGATATTATTTCAAAACTTTATAAAAAGATGTTGCTATGACGTCAGAATATAAAGCCATTGTTTTACAGTGACGTCATAGTTATATCTAGCAGTTTTTGTGATCTGTACAATACATGCAATACTTTAACAAGTAAAAAAAATCTAACGTATGATAGTGTAAGACTCTAGATCAGTGTTTCATGTGTCACAAGAATCAGGCATTTTCAAATATTGTGTTTAAGAAAAATAATATTTTTGGGATGCATCTCTCGAAGCCACGCAGAAGAGACGTATGCAGAGTACAAATGGTTCCTGGAAAGGTCCCAATGACAGTTCACGTCACCTGGGTTGGAGTAAACTTACTGTTGATACAAGCTTCTAGGCCAGTTTACTTTGGACTGTAATGATGTATGGGTTAGGTAGGACAAATACAGACTTGGCAGAAGACACAAAGCGTAGACAAAATACCATTTGGCGATCGGAAGGGAGACCAGATCGCCATCTTAACGGAGATAAGTCTGGTAATTAGAATCACCGGATACTGAGTGTTCATTATAAAATATATTTCTGTAGTTTTCAGATAAGCGTGACGTACTCTTAAACGATTATCTATTTATTTTCACAGTTCGTTACAGATCAGTTACCGATCGAAGTATATCGAGTTCGTGAGCTAATAATTATCATATTTTGTTATCCTTATATTCAGTATTTGATTACACTATCTTCGTATTTAAATTTTATTTATTTTTTTTAGTTTCAGAGTAAATTAAAGAGCGAAGTAGTAAATCTAATGCACAAATACCGAATACAAACGTATGGCGGGTCATATAATATATAAACTATTCAAAAAGAGGCCAGTGTTTGATATATACATTCATATCATCCATGGACAAAGACAAAATGATTAATATAAAGCTCATGGTCAGTAACGAGCGATTAACTTAAGAGTTTATATTAATATATAGCTATGTTTAAATTGTGTGTTAAATGCACACTCAAAGAAAAATATAAATGTTGCTGGTATTTTTTAAAATATCTATAGTCATTTCTTTACTGTGTGTAATGTTGGCTTCATTTAAGAAAAAATAGCTCATGTTGTTTTTATTGTATTTCTGAACCAAATACACGTCACGCATCACTATCAGAAAATACTTAGTAGAATAGCGAAATATGATATTGTGGTTCGTTAAATATGTTTGAAATGTTGTTTAGAAAGAGGACAGATATATCGACTCATCGTATTTTCTGTGAATAATTTTAAAGAGAAATGAGAGGAGGGAGGAATGGGTGTTTGCTCAGCTGGTAGAGCATCAGACTTCGCGAACAGGTGCAATATAAAGTCAATATATGTAGTAACACGCGTGTGTATATATATAATATGTACGTCACGATAACGCTATTACACAATTATATCTAAGTATGCACATCACATTATGCAGAAGCACATTTTCATTTTTAATAAATTGAAATGTCTGTTTTGGCAATCGTTGTAGAATTTTTTAAATTTCATTTTATACAAATTTATGTGTTAACTCTAAACTAGATCTCAAGAGTTATGTCCCTTAGTTGTATAAGCCAATGTTGACTGTAATTAGAATACGAGGATTTCGTGTGGTCATTTAGTACGTTGGTATGTAGTCTTGTTATTTGATGTTGATTACAATACTTGTAACACTGCAGTAATGGAAACAATGCTCATCTTCATCTGACAAAAGAACCGTGACAAAAAAACAAAAAAAAAAAAAACAACGCAACAACTGCATGATGTGGTTCATATATGGAATCAAGAATATGTAGCATATTTTAGCTCCGAAATACAGAAAAAAAATGTCAAAATCCAGATATTTTGTACACTTACACACTGTGTCTACAAATTAAAAAAGACACGGTGACCTTTTGGGTCATTTCGTTCCTCAGTTTCATGGTTATTCTTTTGTTTCTTCCTTAATTATTGGATTGTTTCCAAGTATTCCCTTTTATCTCTATGACGTCATTTGCTAATATTGTGTTTAATGGTACTATTAATCTGGTCACGCCTATTGATAAGAGTAATATCACGCCAAGCTCCTTGAATTACAGATACGTCCATGTGCATTTTTCTGTGTTGACCGACGTGTTCATAGTTCCTTCATATTTTTTTGACAAACACGAGGCTCGCTGAGTGTTTTGCAATTCAATAATCTTTCCCTGAAGGTTGAGATTAATTGTTCAGCGGCCATTCCATGATTACCTTCGTTGAGGTCAATTAAGACAGAGACGTATATATCACAATGTGATATATACGTCTCTGATTAAGATGAACACATACGAATTTTGTACTTTTGAAACTATTTGAACAAACTTACCACAATAACATTAATTCGAATGATGATCATAGCTGTGCCGAAATGTTGCTGATATACCGTGAACCCGGACATCTTCGTTCTCATAAAAATCATTCGGTCTTCCGGATGGTTAGGTTTACAGACTGTCGAGCATTTGGAAGCTCGGATGAGATGTCAGATCTGTGTACCTGTTTGTAACGTCATCAACTCCTATGGGACTTTGAATGCAATTAATAGTATTTTCTTGCCATCATCAATCATAATCACAGACAATTTTACATCAGATCTATGTAATTCGCCTTGACATTGTGTTCTGGTATCAATGGATATCCAGCTTGATGGTTTGTTCTGCTAGTAGGTAGTCCTTTCTGAGGTAAAATGTTGTATTGTGAGTTAATATCTGGCGTTCATATCGAGCACTATGGATTCAGTTTTGAAACGTTTACTTCGATCAGTGAGCATGGCTGCGAGTGTTTATATCCTCTAGTGTCCAGCTAGTAACATACTTCTGTATGATGTTAAAGTGTCTGGTTTACGACATGAATATCCTGTGGTGTTTTCAAGTCGATGCTGATAAAATCTAAGGCAATTCGGTATTAGATTTCAGCAACTGTTGAAGACTACAGGAACGTTTTTGGCCGTTAATGTGACTGGTGGATTCTATATTGGAGGGTTTTATGTAATAGATTTCAGTAACTGATGAAAATTACAGGAAAGTTTGTGTTCGTTAGTGTGATTGGTGAATTCTATATTGGAGGGATTTCTGTAATAGTTTTCAGTAATGGATTTGTGACAAATTGCCTAAATTCTCGAAGAAGCAGAGGACGCTTATTCTTCCGAAACACCGTCGTCTTATTCTCCCTGAATTTTTTCTTGCATCAATAACTACAAACACATAATAAATTTTGAGTCAGCACTGATTTCGAACGTGGATAATCTTATTGTATCGTTTTAGTAGGGCGTTTTTATTCCTTACGCCAGCTGTCAAATGATGATGGTATATAATGATAGCCGTTTGATAATGCCATCGCATTCTAGTAACAAGACACAACACCCGATCAAACTACCAGCTTTTATCTCCAACAAATCAAACTTAGACGAGAATTTATCAGCCTCGCCTTGCTGTTTTGATAAGCTTGTCTTATGTTATAAGAAATCACGATCTGTTTTTATTTGGATGACTTGGATTCTGACAGAGTAACCTAATCATTGTTGGCAAGTTGTTTATTACCTACGTATTCTGCTGAATAGGAATTGGGAATTCATGATTTCTTTTATTTAGCAAAAAATTACATGTATTCCTGGCAGACTGAGAGAACTGCATCATGCACTAAGGCTGGAGTCATCTACGGTCGCCTAGGTAGGTCGTTAGAATTTTACCTGCTGTCCCCATTGCATCGTAAAAGCGTCTGCAATATTTGTCTTTTCCTTTCTCCCTTACTGTCTCACATGGTGAAATGGTAATTTTGGACTTTCTGGGCGTTAACCGGAGTGAGGAAGGTTTGGGGTTCTGTCCCCAGACCAAGACAAACCAAAGTCTATAGGATTTGTAGGTGAAACTCTCCGCTTGAGCGGAAGTTGAAATAGGCTAATGGAAAGGACCAGTTCGACTGTTGTCAGTATTTAATGTAACAGTAGGGTGCCACGATACTATCATTGTGTGAGGACATTTCAGAGTTATGACACTATAAAATACAGGTCATTGGACCAGGATCCATGGACACTGTTGTCATAAAACCTTGGTTGTTTGGATGACATTGGATACCAGAACATCTGCTTTCATTTCAATGTCAGTGCAAGGACTCGGGGCAAGACATTTTACCTCAATTAGACTTAAGATTGTTTTATGATTCCAGGGTCTGAACAATTAGTGTACGAAAAACAAAACAAGTCAGCACAGATCTAGGGGCTTGATCAGTGAAAACATAACAATACTTTTAACGCATGTTCAAATTTTATTTTAATAAATAAAAAAAAAATCACCAATATTTTATTATAATATGTAACAAGTATAAATGAGGGACAGCCAGCTTACTGGTGGAATGTAAACTTAGATAATGCAGATGGGTAGTATATATTTCATATGTGCATACATAGTGTAAACAGATAAAATTTGGACGGAAATCGCTGGCAATTAAATTCAATAAGCATATTTTAAAATAGTTGACACATGATATTCGAAGGCACACACTCAAGTGCAGCTTATCACAGATATGTGTTTTTCAAATCCTGACCACCAGTATCATCTATGTATATCACATGATCATGATGTCATTTCCTTTTCCAATGATGTCACTTCCTCTTCCCATGATGCCATTGGAATGGAGATAAAGTTTGAGACCACAGGATAGGAACTTAACAGTGTTATCATCACAAAATATTTTGACAATGACTACAAATCCAGATGAAATCCATGGTGGAAGTTTTTGATTGTAATGAATCATCTTTTGGTCCAATTCTTTCTTTAGATCACAATTTGACATCCTTATTTATGCTGCACCTGTGAAATAATATCAAATTACTGATAGTATGTGTTTTTTTTATAATATATTCAAGTCTTCATCAAATCATGATGAAAGTAACAGTGCTAAGAAGGATCATGAAAATATAAAGGAAATTTCCAGTATTTTAACTCAAATTGCTACTTTTGGAATTACTTTATGGTTGTGACACAATTGAAATGAATTTAGCAAACTGAATGCTTTCAAACTAATGCTCTTCATCTATAGCCATATTGTAACGGATTTTGTCAAAGACGATATTAAAAATTAGCTTTGAAGGCAAGTGACAAGTTTGAGATATACATTACTATATGGGTCATCCTATTTGAATTATAATCGTATAAATCACATCTGGATCTGTTCATCTATCAAATGTTATCTATGACCGTATTTGTCCATTTAAACAGTTTGTTATTGCAGATTATTACCTTCTTCAGCTTTGGTCTCTTCTTTCTTCTCCTCTTCACCTAAAGGATAGAAAATTCAAAAGGTCAAAACATCAAGAACATGTGAAAGTGTGGAACTTATCTACATCACAATGAGACAAAAGTTTTGAGATTTTTCTTGAGTGAAACTGTAAGCATTCTAAAGTTGGAGCTTTTGAAAGTAGGTGTAAATTGTGGTGGGGAATTGTGAGACTCCCACTGACAGTAGAGACAGTTAGCAGGTATGTGAGATTTCTAGAACATGTCTGTGACCTGTTTTTACCTTCTGTCTTGGCTTCTTCTGGTGCTGCTTCTTCTGTCTTTGCTGGTTCTTCAGACTGCTGTTCTGGTTCCTCTGTTTTTGTCGCCTCTGAATTGTAAATATTGGTAGATACAATAACTGTAACTGTCTCAAGTCCATTTACCTTAGTTGTCTTATTACCTCCATCATCTATCTTCTATAACTAAACCCTTTCACTGCGCCCCACGTTAACATTCATCCTATGCCTTATCAACCTTTACATCTTCCCAGTAAACCTTTACCTTCACCTCTTGTCAACTTTACTCCTTCCCAATGCAAACCGCATCTGTTCCCTTTTCAACATTCACTCCACTATCAACATTCACCTGTCCCCCTGTAAATCTTCAACCCACCCGCTTTTAACATTCCCCCTGTAAACCTTCAGACCTCCTCCCAACCCCCTTCCTGTCAACATACACTCACCCCTCCCTCTGTCAAACTTCATCCCTTCCGATGTCAATCTTTACCCCACCCCGAGTGCCTTGAGTGAGTACCTACCTTCTGGCTTTGCTTCCTCTTCAGAGGGTTTGGGAGCTTCCTCTTCCTGTTTTACCTCTTCTTCCTTCTTTTCTTCTTCTTTAGGAGCTTCCTCTGTCTTTTCTTCCTCTTTAGGAGCCTCTTCCTCTGTAAATCCAAGAAAAAATATGTAAAAATGTTTGTAAATAAACAAGTTTTATAGCATCTTTGATTCAGATACAGGTAACAACACAAGAAGATATTAATATCTGAAATTAGGTCAAAGTCATTAATTTGAACAAATTTGATAGCTCTGTTGTCAAATGTTATTATCTAGGCCTCTTGGTTTAAGTTTGACCAGACAGCTGACAGATATAGCTCACTTGTTTTGTTTATATTTTGGCAGGGACAATATAAATATACCCATTACATATTTTTGCACTCACCTGTTTTTGCCTCCTCAGGTTTAGCTTCTTCTGTTCAAAAAATTGTAAAATATGAAATTACAATATGGTGTTGTATTTTATTTTCAGTTTTCACATCCAACATATCTAGTTCTATTTGTATTTGACTTTCCCAAACACATGTTTACACAGAGGTTGGATCTGAGGAAATGTCAGCTTACTTAGTGTGATTCCTTTAACATTTATTCTCAAATAACTTAACACAACTGACATTCAGAAATGCAAGTAAAAAAAGAGAAAGTGGGAAAGGATAATTTAGTGCAGAATTCCTCAAAAACCTGTGGTAAAAGTTAACTAAAAAATTAAGTGAAAATACGCAAATATAACTTCACTGATAACAATGATGGAGTTGCGAAAATTAACTCTTGAAGCAAAATGTATTAGTGAAAATCAGCAGATAATATTAGTGAAAACCATAGTCAGTGAAAAAAACTGTTTGTAATTTAACAAGAAATAAATTAGATTTCAACTTAGTCGAAAGAGTTTACAGCACAGACCAAATCATATCGATTATCATGCTGGTGATCATTATTGATCAGTGATGGTCTACAAGTATGGAGGGAATTATTGTTTGAGTGGCACTGTGGCAAGTGTGTTTTAAAAAATGTCCTCTTATGATTTTGAAGATTTGATTTCACTTCACTTTTAAGCAAAGAAAATTCCAAGCAGCCAAGAAAGAACTAATTTAGTAGAAAGAATAACTTTGTCAAATACTTGTAATATTTTTTAATTTAAAGTAGACAAGCTCTCATATGAAATGTACATACAGTTACTGAGAGAATTAATATCCAATCATTGCATAGAAAAAATGTAAATAGGTCAAATAGTTACAAAAGTCATTTAGCTACAATTAGGTCATAGGTCAAATGTTTCTTTGTTACATGGTATTACCCTGGTGAAAAGGACACAGTATTACCAAGGTCACAAGGACACAGTATTAATCAGTTCCAAGGTCACAGTATTACCCAGATCCAAGGACACAGTATTACCAAGGTCACAAGGACATAGTATTACCAAGGTAACAAGGACACAGTATTACCTAGGTCAGAAGGACACTATTACCCAGGTCTAATGACAAAGTTTTACCAAAGTCACAAGGTCACAGTATTATCCAGGTCACAAGGTCAGTCTTACCAAAGTCACAAGGTCACAGTAATACCAAAGTCACAAGGTCACAGTATTACCCAGGTCACAAGGACACAGTATTACTAAGGTCACAGGGTCACAGTATTACCCAGGTCACAAGGACACAATATTACCAAAGTCACAAGGTCACAGTATTACCAAAGTCACAAGAACACAGTATTACCCAGACCACAATCACGAAAAGCTGAAGTGTAGAGAAGTTGTGGTAATATGGGTATGTAGGTCAAATGTCACATTTAAAGGTCATACAGTCAATCTAACCTTGCACAGACACACAAGTTATGGTAGAAGTCAAATGAATTAGTATAGAAGTTAAAGAAAAACTTGTGAGTTATATAATGTGATTGTAACCTTCAGTTTTAGCTGGCTCCTCAGGGGCAGTCTCTTCCTCTGTTAGGGTTAATCAGATTAAAAAAGGTAACACATTGTAGGATTCATCAGGTCAAAATGTTACAGAAATTTCAGAAGTTTCTTCAATGAAAATCCCTAGTAGGATATTTATCAGGAAGGATTTTCAAAGATTTCTTTATTGAATATTTTTATTAATAAAGGTTCACCAGTAGTAAAATTTCTTCAAATAATTGATTTTTAATTAGGAAAGATTTTCATTTTAAATTGATCAAGGATTCTGCATGTAATATTAAAAATGGCTTTTCCAAAGATTCTTCGTGTGGTATTTTTTATTAAGCTAGTGAAATATTCTTTTCATTACAAATAGAAGAAATAATGCTTTCTTGTGAAAATCTAAGGATTCCTCAGGGAACGTTCAATAAACAGTAGAGTTACAGGCATACTGGTATTTCATAGGTTCAGCAGTGATGGAAAGGGGGTGGGGGTGGGTGGGGGGTTGGGGAGGGGGAAGGATGGGTAGGGGGTACCAGGATGGACATGATCAATCAGAACAAATCAGTCACAAATTTCATATTGATTCAATCTCTGGTTTCTTGTTCTGTTTTACCGATAAAACTTGGTGAGATAAAAATCCCAAATTTATTTCCTGCAGGCTGAAGTACTTACGTTTAGGAGCTTCCTCCTCTGTTGGTTTAGCTTCTTCTGATGGCTTTTGTTCCTCCTGTGGTTTCTCTTCCTCTGTTTGGGCTGTCTCAGCCTCTGTAACATCAGTGTATTCAACACATTATTTAAACTGCCTTTTGTCATGAAAAATTCTGGAAATTTCAGGACTGAAATACCTAGTTTATAATGACAACAAAAAAAATGAATTACAGACAGGACAAACTTTCCAATCACATGAAAAGGTCAGAAACTTACTGGTCCACCTCCAACTGTCAGGAATTTTAACTGACAATTATAATTTACATCAGAGATATGAAAATCAAAATTTCCTTGCAATAAAATGGCAGTTTGTAAACTTGAACTATGGGCTTAATATATTTATATAGCCCAGATATCAGTGATCCTTGTTAAAAATGATTACAAGTGGAGTTAAGAGACACTTGTCTGTAAAGATGAAGACTTTTCCAGGTAGAGAGTGACCTAAGTCAATAAAGATAGGGGCAGATTGATCCCTGCCTATAAAGACCATCTGAGGAGCAGATTAATGCCTGTCTTTTAAGACCACCATTAGGGTTAGATTAATCCATGTAGTCAAAGATTGCCTGAGGAGTAGATTGATCCCTGTCTAAAAAGACCATTTGAGGGGCAACCTAGACACTATTCTATAAAGAAAACAAGGTTACATTGATCCCTGTTAACAAAGACCGTAGGGATAGATTAATCACCATCTTCACCATCTTGAAAGACAGTCTGAGGGGTACATTAATTCATGTCTAAAAAAACCATCTGAGGACAGAGTGATACCTGTTTAATAAAATTACATGAGGGATATGTAGATCCCTGTCATTTGATAGAGGACTGGACCCTGTCTATAAAGATCATATGGAAGTAGATTTATCCTGTCTATAAAGACCAAATAAAGGGTATATTGATCCCTGTCTATAAAGACTATATGAAATTAGACTGATCCTTGTCTATAAAGACCATTTGAATGTAGACTGATCCCTGTCTATAAAGACCACATGATGGATGTATTGATCCATGTCTATAAAGACCACCTGAATGTAGACTGATCCCTGTCTATAAAGACCACATGGTGGGTATATTGATCCCTGTATATAAAGACCACATGGTGGGTAAATTGATCCCTGTATATAAAGAACACATGGTGGGTATATTGATCCCTGTCTAATAGGCTCTCTGTGGTTTGATAAAGACTACCTGATGGTAGATTGATACCTGTGTAGAAAGACTAACTTAGATTAGACCCCTGTCTATAAAGACCACCTGTCTGTAGATAGTAATGGAGGGATTTGATTGACCACAACAAAAAGACTGTCAAATACATTAAGTGAGTGTGGTCATAACAGACATGTCAATATTTATTTTATTTGTTATCAATGAAATCATTCAGTATTAATGCAAATGTTAGTGACCTTATTAACAGGTGACCTATCTAGGCAAGTGTTCTACAAGAAAGGAGTTTTATATAGATAAGTAGAGAGGTTGCATACATTTTTTTTCTACAGTGAAAATATTAAATTGAATTTAAAATGATGAAGCCATACATAAATAAAAGTAAAAGTGTTGAAAATTACAGTCAGTTTCAAGAGCAGTATACAATACGAAGTTCTCAGAATACTTCAACAATCGGGATTTAGTAGTGACAGGTATGTCAGCTTGGAAAGTTAGTGCAGGAGAAACACTACACAGAATGTCACCACAGAGGAAAGTTACTAGTTACTATACAGAAAAGTCACTACACATAGTGCCAAATAACCTTTGAGTCTATGACGTTCCTCTGGAGCAGCGTCCTCAGATTCTGCACTTTTCTTTGATACAGCAGTGTCTGTGAGGTTAGTAAATAGTATGGAAAAATGACTTTTTTACATCACACAGGCAAAAATCAGATTTCCAAAATGGCAGATAACTTTACCAAAATAAAAGTTTCAAAATCTTTTTTTGTGTTTGTTTGAGACTTACACCAAACAATTCATATGTTTATATACCTAACCCGATTATAAAAAACCTGATTCCTGATCATAGTGTAAAGTAACGATAATATGTATAATTATCCTGATGAATAGGATTACATGCCACAAACTCTGGTGAATTTGGGGATACATGTCACAACCCAATGGTGAATAGGATTACAGGCCACATCGCTGGTGAATTTGGGATTACAGGCTACAACCCCTTTTGAATAGGATTACAGGTCATAACCCCTGGTATATCTGGAACACGGGCCACAATCCTGGTGAATTCAGAACACTGGCCACAACCCATAGTGAAAAGGGTTAAAGGCCACAATCCTGGTGAATTAGGATTACAGGCCACAACCCCTAGTGAATAGGATTACAACCCAAACCCCTGGTAACTGTAGTAAATTGGATTACAGGGTCACTGCCACTGGTAACCATGGTAAACTGGATGACAGGGTCACAATCTCTGGAAACTAAGGTAACGTGGACTATGAAAACTGAATCTTCTTATTTGTGGGTTTGGTAACTGTGATTGTTTGACTTGGGTCAAGCAAAAAGGCAGAAAATGTTGAAAGTGTTTGATCAATAATATTGCCATGTTGATAACCTCATTTTAGTTGTTTTAGAAAAACAGACGATGTCACAGAGGCAATAAGTATTTACCTCCTTCTTGTGTTTCAGCCTGTTCTTCTTGTGGTGCTTCTAGATCTCCTACAACAATAGAACATAGTCAACATTACACACCAACACTGAAACAAACACATACAAGATCTGGATTCATTCATTTGAATTTACAGATTTGAAAGGTATGGTGATCTGAGAGAGAAATCACTTTACAGGTGAAATGCATTATTGAAAATGTCCAAAATGGCTGACAATCTCATGTTAACTTAAATGATAAGTAATTATAATATGGAATATTTAATATTTCATTTTCATAAAATATTTTCAAAATTTCTGTTGACTTTTTTTATATAAAAATTTGAAAAGATTTTTCAATTAAAATTGCTAAAATTATCGATTATGATAGATGTTGTGCTGAAAGAAACAACTGAAAAGTAAGCATTCCTGGATCTTTCGTTAGAAAGTGCAAAACATACACACAGGTGTTAGTGATTTTTTTCAGCATAATGCTGAATAAAGAAATATCATACACAGAAAAAAAAGGATCTGAAATTAATGTGCAAAAATACATCTTTCCTGTTTGTACAAAATGCTGTAAAAAAAGATACAAGACTTTTGATTCACAATACACTAATATGATTACCTATTAAAATACCAAATTATGATTGAGAAAAAAGGGTACATGTATACAAAATTTGATGTGACAATTCGATGGTCAGTTTAACAAAAGATGAGTGCTTACAGATATCAATCCTATAGGGACAAATAACAGGCATATTGGGTGTTAATATCAATATTTGAGTATCTTTCCAGATTATGACTCCTATGTGTTTTATTAACCTAACACATAAACACAGCATGAAATTGTGGAATTCCCAAAATAAAATTTGTACTTTTCATCATTCAACCAACTTAAAATGAACAGATTTATCAAACATATTAATACACACTAAGGGTTTGCTTTAGAGATGAAGCAGCGTTTTTTCACAGTCAACTGGCATAGCAAACTGTTTAAGGAATGTTTTCACGAATATCCAGTACGAGGAGAAATGATGATGGAATTCTTAGAGAGTCAATTGCTCTGATCAGATAGATACAACCACTTGACGGCAATCCTACAGAGATAAAAAAGTGGAGGTGCATAGAACAGAGTCTGACACTGACAATTTACTGACAGGGAATCAATGAATACAATGACAGAAATTGGTCAAGGCCATTACAGTTAAAATGACCGCAGGATAAGGAAGACTGACCACATTGGCTGAATGAGTGAATGGACAGTCGTCTTGAAGCCAGCTCCAGACCATAATCGAAACTTGAATGAAAGAAATAAATAGATCGGAACTTGTAAGAAAGTAATCAAAGAAACGGCATTAAAGCTGAGAGGTGACCTTACAGTGACCTACTTAGTGACTCCAACATTGATCAGCAGGATAAAACACTGACCTGATGTATTGACAAGACAATATTTAATCTATCAAACGGCTTCTTGTTATTTGCATGTACTGAAACCATTTTATTATATAGGAAGAAATCTCTATCGCATAACTATAGATAACTTGATTTGAAGGCATGTATATCAATGAAATATATATATTTTTTTTACACTTTTGTGACTAAATAAGCTGTGGAAAAAGTATGATAAACCTACATGATTAACGGAATGCTAGAGATTGAAATGCTCCAACATAAAGAAGATAGAATTGGTGAAGTTTTGATACACCTACCATGGTAAAATATTCTATGAGGGAATACTTCTCAGACAAAATAAGCTGATATAAGACGATGAGTGACCAGAATAAGTTGTACCCAGTAATAAGCTTGGAGGGTTTACAATGAAATGGAAATTTCCTCAAATGAATGTGATGAGAGGCTATGCCATGAGGGGGAAATTTCCCAACTGAACATGATGAGAGGGTATGCCATGAGGTGGAAATTAACCTCAACTGAAAATGCTTAGAGGGTATGCCATGAGGGGGAAATTTCCCTAAATGAATATGCTGAGAGGGTATACCATATGGGGGAATTTCCCCAATTGAATGGGTTGGGAGGGTATATATTTCCTGATCGAAATGAGGCTGGAATAAGCTGTTTAAATAAACCATAATGATAAAGACAAGTTTTTAATACAAAATTTACATATGCATAAATAAAAGTATGCTGTGAGGTAGATATTTCCCACACTGAAAGTTATGAAGGTTTTGGTGCAATGCCAGGGATACATTCATGCTTGAAAAGCTGGAGAGTTTTTGATGCAACAACAGGGCTACACTGTAAGTAATAAACAATACATAGGATACAACATGTAACATCTGTATAATATACATAACAGTGATTGTATACCTTCTTCCTGTTTACAAGATTCCTCTATTTGTTTATCATCTGGAAAATCAACACAATTGTTTACTTTGTTTACAGGAGCTAGAGAACACTTGTACTATCATTATACTAAGGATATGGAGAACACATGTACTGTAAGCACTGGAGAACACCTGTACTATATGTGACATGACTTTTGGTGAATTCAGTGACGACAAGAAAGTTTAATAGATTAAAACTCATTTTGTTTTAGTGAAACAAACATGATCAAGTCCCATTTTCCTTAGGTACAAAAATGTACAACTTACAGGAACAACACTTTATTCATCAACTTAAGTAAAAAAAGAATTCAAGGGGAAAAAAATCAACCATCAACAGTATATGAACACATTTTGATAAGACTTAATGGGAAAAAAAATTCACAGAAAGAAAAGCTGCTGACAGCCAGAAAGTCAGTTAATTACTTGTGAATTTCCTGTTTGTTCCTTTTCAAGTTTACTTTTTTAGTTTATAAACCTGGAACTAATGGACACACATATACAGGGCAGAAGACAAACCAAATACAAATGTATTGTCTCATTTAGGAACCTCTACCTCTCACCTCTACGTTGTATTTAATGTAACTGATCGAAGAATTTAATTTACATGAAATGATAAACATTTAATCAAAAGAACCATAAATACCAAATAGAAATTATAGTACTTTGCCTGTTTAGTAGGTAACCAAAGCTCGCACACAAGGTTTAAATACATGATCAAAACCGGGATTTACATCATATGGAAGAATATGTTTATTACAAGTGTCATTTCTATAATTTTTTTTATTATAGATAAACAGTGGCATTTTTCAATCATCCATAACAGTTTTTTACCACACTTGATTGACATTGATATTTGATTTTATAACAGAATTCTAAGCATACAAAATTTATGACATTTTTAAGTCAACTCAGAGTAAAAAATACAGTCATACACAAAGAATATAATACAAAAAGTATTGTGACATTGGAAGTAGAGACAATATCATGAAATAAAGGAAAAGTAGATGAAATTTCCACTTCAGGTTGAGAACATGCAGCTGACCCAATATAAATCAAAAGTATGACTTGGTGGTTACATAAAATTTCACGTCCTTCAGTAAATGCAAAATTAACAAAAATCACTTGAAAACCTAGATTTTATATTTCTTCTCCAATATCCAGTAAGAGAGACTATTATCTAAAGATATACCTACAGCTGATACTTTTTGTCATTGATTTGGTTAGAGTTTAATATCACCAAGACAACCACGAAAACACTTTTAGAGCGCTTTTAGAATTACCATAGTGTGGAAAATATATTTTCCAACTAATGTCAAGATTAAAAATAATGCCAATCAAGTAGAAAGGAATGACAAAAACAAATAATCCAATTTTGTCAACTTTCACAAGATTGAAAAAAAAATAATGATATTTCATTGGTTAAAGAGTATATCACCAAGACTACAGGTATAATGGCATGAAAAAAATAATGAGAGTTCCTTGGTTAGAGAGTATATCGTCATGACTACAGGTATACATATGGTTGTCACCAGACATGAAAGCATTAATGAGAGTTCCTTGGTTAGAGAGTTTATCACCATGTCTACAAGATACATATACCACCAGACAAGAAAGCATTAATGAGAGTTCCTTGGTTAGAGAGTATATCACCATGACTAAAGGATACATATGCCACCAGATAGGAAAATTCCTTGGTTAGAGATCATATCACCATGACTACAAGTATATATGTGGTTGTCACCAGACATTAAAGCATTAATGAGAGTTCCTTGGTTAGAGAGTATATCACCATGTATACCGGTATATATACATAAAAAATGCCACCAGATATGAAAACGTTGATGAGAGTTTCTTGGTTAGAGAGTATATCACCATGACTACAGGATATATATGTCACCATTGGAAAATTCCTCAGTTAGAGAGTATAGCACCATGTCTGCAGGTATTTACACATATAAAATGCCACCAGATATGAAAGCATTAATGAGATTTCCTTTGTTAGAGAGTATGTCACTATGACAACCAAGCTAATGGCATAAAATGTGACCTCTGACCTTGTTTCTCTTGTTCTGTTGTCTGATCTCCACCCTCTGTACTTTCCTCTTTCTTTTCCTCTCCTTCCCCTTCTGATAGGTGATAATGAGGATGATAATAACATGATGTTTACATTACACAAAATCGAAGACCAACATCTAGTTTCATCATAAACACTCAGACATCCAACAAAGAAAACTGGTTCCTTTTAACTACGGAAACATCAAATGGTGATTTTTATAAAACACGTTTATAGTCTTATACAATGATTTTGTGCTTAATCTCATATTAATCACTGTAATTGTTATTGTTATATTAATCTGTTAATATAATGTAATAACACTAAAAACCTAACTCCTACTTGATGGTAACCAGCTACTTTTACACATCATCCTTACTACAGATAGAAGAACCAAGCTCATGAATTAAATATGACACAAATACCCATGTTAATGTTTGATTAAATGCTGTAGTTAACAAACATGTTCATATCATTTGTGTAAAAGTTTTGCCCAAGCAGAAAAGAGAGAAAAAATGAACTGCCACTTCCAGAATATGTCAGCACGTACTTATATATATTTTTTCTATTTACATTCTTTGATGTGTAAAAATATTGCAAAAGATATTTACAACAATCTGAAGGTCAAATTTAACGTGAAACAAGCAAAGAGTCAAGGAAACATTTGAAGAAAAGAAAAGTGGGTTTAACTAAGTCAACTGAACGTTATCTTTTTATGAACTATTCCTGCTAGCAATAAAAGCTATTAAGACTTGTTTTAATCACTAAATACTTGATTGAATGGGTTTTTCTTCTCTTACCCAGAAAAGACAAGGTAAATTATAGCAATGATGTGATTCTAAAATTCTCTTTATCACTATAGGGTATAAATATTGGTTTTTATATTACCATTCAAAGAGGTCAAGAGTTCAGGTGATGTTAAAAATAATTCTCTATGAAAACATGAATAACTGTGAATGTTACCAAATTGAACAGAATGAATGTTTTATGATTATATAGAATACACCACCATTTCCATAAGGAAAAACTCTTAACTGCCACCAGAAAGGAAATCATAGTATTATTTGGTTAGAGAGTATCATTCACCATGATACAAGTAATATCCCAAAAAAAGGGCATATTACAATTCCTTGGTTAGAGAGTATGTATCGCCATGACAACATGTCATTTCATATGGAGAAGCATTGATGACACTTTCTTAATTAGAGAGTATATCATCATAAGTTTTAAAGTTAGCCTTGAATGTTAATAAATGAAAAGCATTAATGACAGTTCCTTGGTTAGAGAAAAGATCACCATGACAACCAAGCTAATGGCCCATCTAGTACAATATGTGACCCCTGACCTTGTTCCTGCCCTTGCTGTTGTGTTGTCTGTTCTCCACCCTCTGTACTTTCCTCTTTCTTTTCTTCTCCTTCTGATAGGTGATGAGGATGGCAATGAAATGAGGTCGACATTGAACAATGTAATACTGATTTTTACTTTCAGTTGTTTCACATGTAACTGAAGACAATGACTACCAACAATCTCATAACTAGCGAAAATCATTTTTAACAACAAAAACTCTTAATAAAATGGTTTCCATTTTTTTCTTAAACTATGATGTTGTGAATACATATAAAGCAATAGATAATGTTACATTGGATAGTAAAATATTATTATTATTTTATTTTATGTTAAAAATCTCATTTTTGTTCTACCACTGTATTCATCCTGAAATAAGCCCATTGGACCAACACATTATCTGTGACTCAAAGTAGTGGGTGGGCTTATTACAGGACAATAGCATTAATTGTTATCATTTTAACTGAAATTGCAAGGATTTGGGTGGGCTTGTTACCAGGAAACTGCTTATTGATTGATAGAGTATGCACCAATTGTGGAAGATCAATACCACTAATTAGAGGCAGAAAATTTGCATAATTTAAATTTTGATCAAGTATAAAACTTCTTAAAAGAACTTATTCCAGATTTTATAAAACAGCCTTAGCTATATTTATAATACAGAATAGCAGACACCTAATTCCTGGGAATAAGTAATTATATATAACATTTGTCTATAAAGAGACAGCTTATGTAGGTAAAATTTTTTTTTAAGATTTGCTAAGGAGACAATATGTACATTTGACAGTAAAGATCCATTATATAAAGGTCAAAAGAATTAGGTTATCCATTCAGAGAAACCCAGACTGAATTAGGTTATCCATTCAGAGAACCCCAGACTGAATTAGGTTATCCATTCAGAGAACCCCAGACTGAATTAGGTTATCCATGCAGAGAAACACAGGAAAGTCTGTAAGTGGTGATGATTTGGAAGAAATATGCCATTTAAAAATTATTACATGAAAAACACCAGATACAAAGCAACATGATGTTTAGATGTCAGAAGTAAAACACACCAGATACAAAGTGACATGATGTTTAGATATCAGAAGTAAAAACACACCAGATACAAAGCAACATGATGTTTAGATATCAGAAGTAAAAACACACAAGATACAAAGCAACATGATGTTTATAAGATGTCAAAAGTAAAAACACACAAGATACAAAGCAACATGATGTTTAGATGTCAGAAGTAAAAACACACCAGATACAAAGCAACATGATGTTTAGATATCAGAAGTAAAAACACACCAGATACAAAGCAACATGATGTTTAGATGTCAGAAGTAAAAACACACCAGATACAAAGTGACATGATGTTTAGATATCAGAAGTAAAAACACACCAGATACAAAGTGACATGATGTTTAGATATCAGAAGTAAAAACACACCAGATACAAAGCAACATGATGTTTAGATGTCAGAAGTAAAAACACACCAGATACAAAGCAACATGATGTTTAGATGTCAGAAGTAAAAACACACCAGATACAAAGCAACATGATGTTTAGAAGATGTCAGAAGTAAAAAAACACCAGATACAAAGCAACATGATGTTTAGATGTCAGAAGTAAAAACACACCAGATACAAAGCAACATGATGTTTAGATATCAGAAGTAAAAACACACCAGATACAAAGCAACATGATGTTTAGATGTCAGAAGTAAAAACACACAAGATACAAAGCAACATGATGTTTAGATGTCAGAAGTAAAAACACACAAGATACAAAGCAACATGATGTTTAGAAGATGTCAAAAGTAAAAACACACCAGATACAAAGCAACATGATGTTTAGATGTCAGAAGTAAAAACACACCAGATACAAAGCAACATGATGTTTATACAAAGCAACATGATGTACAAAGCAACATGATGTTTAGATGTCAGAAGTAAAAACACACCAGATACAAAGCAACATGATGTTTATAAGATGTCAGAAGTAAAAACACACCAGATACAAAGCAACATGATGTTTAGATGTCAGAAGTAAAAACACACCAGATACAAAGTGACATGATGTTTATAAGATGTCAGAAGTAAAAACACACCAGATACAAAGTGACATGATATTTAGATGTCAGAAGTAAAAACACACCAGATACAAAGCAACATGATGTTTAGATGTCAGAAGTAAAAACAATGATGTTTAGAAAGTGCCAAAAATAAGACATATTACAGATGAAATAATGATGAAAAAAGCATCGATAGGATTTTTAAGACACAAATATAAGTTTTAAAGAGTAAAGTTTCTGCAAAGATCAAGGAAAACAGATAGTCAAAGTAAATCGAAGTACACACTAAAAAAGCAGACATGTTTGAATGTTAAGGCAAATGCTTAACAGCAATGCATTAAATTTTTATATTTAAGAAACACCCACAACCAAATATGTAAGGAAATGTCAGAGAGTAAGAATATCTCAATAAAATGATGAAACCTTTTTGTTCTCCTCCTTCTGTTGTTTGCTGTGTTTGCTCTCCGGGTGCTTCTTCTGTCTTTCCATCTGACCGAGGACATAATTGTTACAATACAGTCTACAGTTTTCCCTCGCTTAATCAGTTTATTTCAAATCACACTTGAACTAATGTGTGTACTAACATTGTTCAGTCAACAGTACCAAGGAAAAAGTAAAAAAATCTTTCTAAATAAACTTATCTAACATGTTAAGGAAATAAAATTTTTGCAGACTGATGCAATATCATGTCTGATGATAACTTAAACTCATTTAAAAAATCTCCAAAAATGGTTCCTATATTATAAAGATAGATATATTTCACTACAATGTATATACATGTGGTGAGTTATGTATAATCTATTCTCTATCTACAGAATTTAATCTCTAATTAACTCACCTTGTTCTTGCATTTCTTCTTCGTCTATCAATACCAACAGGAAATAGAAATAATTAAGAATTGAATTAATGTATTCTATTTCCTATATAAGGTTTTTATATAAGATCTATTTTTAATAGGAAAATCATTATGATAAAAAAATCCTGAATCCGCCATTTAAAAATAGCAAATTCAATGACCTCCTACATTTAATTATATTTTCAATTATTTTTTTCCTAGAAAAGAGAAGCTGAATGACACACCTCAGATTAGGACAGATAATCTGCTTATAACATAAAGATGCACACAATAGAATCTTAGAAGTAATTTTACAATTACAAAAGTTTTTTAAAATTACCATCTAATGAATGAAAATGTATTTGTCACCAAAATGAAACCAATATAATTATGTACAAGATGCAGATAATGTAAATCAGTATAACTGATAAAAATAAACTCAATTTATCAACACCACAAATAATCAAATATTATCAATTACTACAAGAATATACAGTTTGTACTATAAGCAAGGAGGATGGCAGCCAGGCCAAATGATCACAATATTTATAGATGACAGGACATCTGAATTTCAGTTATATAACTGGCAGCATATACAAATGATGTAAAAGTGACACACATATCTATATATGTTTCGTAGATGAGGTTATATTGATAGCACATACAGATCTCATGAAAGCAACACTGAACAGGAGAGATTTCTTTCTCAGATGAGGAGACTACAAGCAATTAAATATGCAGACAAAATATTGTGACAATTTAAAACATTTTCTTTTGAAAAATCTTTCTACTGACAATCAAACTCTTTGAAACAAAAGAAGAAAGCGATCTTCCAATACATCAATATATTAAGACAATTAAAACTATTATAAGCAGGAGGGTAAAGCAGTTCCAAGATACTTAAATCAATTACAGGAATGTGGAGAAAATACAGCGTACAAGGGGACATCACTCTAATACAATATACTGACTTCAAAGTGAAGCCTTACTGAACATTTTAGTTTTTATAAACAAATTTCTTTTCACAGTTTCACAACTTTCTACCAGAATATCTTCATTAGGTCTTAAAGGTTTTACACAGAATTTCAGCTGATTAGCTGGCATCTCTATTATACATTATTTTAAATGATCATTACCAGCCAAAATCTCCACAAATCACAACTTTAGTTGATCATTATCAGTTACTATCTCCACAAAATTATATATCATTTAACCATGCAAGGGAGATGACTCCAATAAAATGTTATCATTCCCTATGCGGATTATCACACAAGCTGTGAAACACACATAAGCATTGCAATATATATTGTATCTAATAGAACTGATAAAAAAAGGGAAAATTAATCAACTTTTTACACCAACAGTATTACACCAATAGTATTGTCCAACAGAGATACAACTTTAAGACAACACTTCTGATTGGTCAAATAACTAATGTCTCACCTCAGAACAAAACAATGAGAGAGCAAATGAGAGATATCTGATGAAGAAGATGGTATGAAGGACAAAACAAAATTAGTGACTGCAAAATCAAGGGACAAAACAACAGTGACAAAAACAGATCAAGTTAGTGATTGTAGGACGAACACAAAACACACACGGTACCTTCTGCTGCTTCAGGACTCTGCTGACAAGACTGACCTTGAGAACGTGACTGTTATGGTTTCGATGAAATACATGTTTGGATCTACTTATTGGCAACACAGTTGTCCAATTACTGAGTTTTAATGTCGATTTTTAAAAAAAATGTGTCAGAGATTAACTCAATTTCATTGTAGGTAATTTAAGTGTTGATATCAGATCAGAATGTTTGATAAAGTTACAGAACACAAATATATCTTAACCTTTAAAAGCTACTTATCAGAGAGATGTTATTTTAGAAAAATAAGGAAAAATGAATATTAAATAAAATTGGTTATGAAATCATCAAGCTTGTACTCAGGGGCCATAGTTTAGATCATCCATCTGGAATTCTTGGTTTCTGTAAATGACTCCCTCAATATTATAAAATATTTCATTTTCAGAATAACTCCCTAAACCACCTTGACAGCTGACTCCCTTGGTACTCATAACCTCTATTATTGCCTCCATTCCCTCTTGTTTCTGGACTATATTCTGACCCATGACCTTTTCACGTCTTTGATCTGACAGCTTAGATCATTGTATTCAATTGGCATCTGTGATCCTCTTGTTAAAGTTAAAGTATCTTTTACACTACTTTGTATATATGTAGTCAGACTTAACGCTTTCCCCTGTCCTTCCTGTCCTTTTCAGTCACCTGTATATCTTTAGTTACAGTCTATCTCTGTAGGATATCTTTTAATCCTCTGTACTCCCTAATTCCTTTCTTCTCCCTGTCTAACTTGGTCTCACTAGTTATTTAAACCTCCTCCTTGCTTGACTTCTCATCCTCTCAAGTTACCTTGACCTCCCAAGCTACTTTGACCCCTTGTTACTTTGAATTCCTTTGTTACTTTGACCACCATTAACTTCACCTCTTCAGTGACTTTGTTATTTTGACAACCCCGGCTAACTTGATCCAAGTTACTGTGACCTCAATGGATGAATTGCCCTATTAAGTTATCTTGACCTCTATTGTTGCGTTGACTCCTTGCTACTTTTATTTCACTGACCTTCCTTGTTACTGTGACCTCCCTTCTAAATATGACTCCCCCTTGTTACTATGACCTCCCTTTTCAATGTGACCTCCCTTGTTACTATGACCTCCCTTGTTACTGTGACTTCCCTAGTTACTGTGACCTCCATTGTTACATTGAGCTTCCTTGTTACTGTGACCTTCCTTGTTACTGTGACCTCCCTTGTTACTGTAACCTCCCTTGTTACTGTGACCTCCCTTGTTACTATGGCCTTCCTTGTTACTGTGACCTCCCTTGTTACTATGACCTCCCTTGTTACTGTGACCTCCCTTGTTAATATGACCTTCCTTGTTACTGTGACCTTCCTTGTTACTGTGACCTCTGTTGTTACTGTGACATCCCTTGTTACTATGACCATCCTTGTATTGATCTCCTTGGCAAACTTGACCTCCCTTGTTACTATGACCTTCCTTGCTACTATGACCTACCTTGTTACTGTGACCTCCCTTGTTACATTGACCTTCCTTGTTACTGTGACCTTCCTTGTTACTATGACCTCCCTTGTTACTGTGACCTTCCTTGTTACTGTTACCTTCCTTGTTACTTTGTTCTCCCTTATTACATTGACCTCTGTTGTTACTGTGACATCCCTTGTTACTATGACCACCCTTGTATTGATCTCCTTTGCTAACTTGACCTCCCTTGTTAATATGACCTTCCTTGTTACTGTGACCTTCCTTGTTACTATGACCTCCCTTGTTACTATGACCTCCCTTGTCATTTGGATATCCCTGGTTGCATTGACTTTCTTCTCAATTTCTAGGTAAGTGACCTTGACATGACTTGATGACTATGTACACCTGAGTACATTAGGCCCTATATGACCTCCTGTATCCCTATGATACCTTTGTGGTCCCTTTTGAACTCCTTCTTTACCTGCCACCATGTGATATTCTACTATGTAGCTATACATGCAGGATTGGTAATAATAAACACATGCAGTCATGCATAATATTGTGTGTATCAGATAACCATGCTCTTATATAGTTTTTTCATACAACCAAGTGAACAATGTATGCATGTGATACAAAAGATTTTAGAGTATTCAGTTTGAATTTATAATGAAGATCAACAGATTGTGTTATTCAATAACTGTTTAACAGGGCCAAATGGATCATAACAAACAACCCTCAGTATCTTACATTTGACCACTGACCAGTGAACATAACCAATTTTGGTATAAAATGAACAATGGGTGATCAGTCTGTGTGGAACTGATGGAGATGTTGGAAACAAAACAGAAATAATAGATAGACAGTGAATATGGAACAGTTCATAATATCCCTTAGAATGCAACCTCTATAGACACAGTTATGTCCCTTAGAATGCAACCTTCTATAGACACAGTTATGTCCCTTAGAATGCAACCTTCTATAGACACAGTTATGTCCCTTAGATTACAATCTTCTATAGACACAGTTATGTCCCTTAGATTACAACCTTCTACAGACACAGTTATGTCCCTTAGAATACAACCTTCTATCGACACAGTTATAAACCTTAGAATACAACCTTCTATAGACACAGTTATGTCCCTTAGAATACAACCTTCTATAGAAACAGTTATGTCCCTTAGAATACAACCTTCTATAGACACAGTTATGAACCTTAGAATACAACCTCTATAGGCATAATTATGTCCCTTAGACTACAGCCTTTTATAGACACAGATATGTCCTTTAGTCAAACAACAACCTGCTATAAACACAGTCATGTCCTTTAGTCAAACATCAACCTACTATAAAAACAGTTATGTCCTTTAGTCAAACAACAACCTTCTATAAGCACAGTCATGTCCTTTAGTCAAACAACAACCTTCTATAAACACAGTAATGTCCTTTAGTCAAACAACAACCTTCTATAAACACAGTTATGTCCTTTAGTCAAACAACCTACTATAAACACAGTCATGTCCTTTAGTCAAACATCAACCTTTTATAAACACAGTCATGTCCTTTAGTCAAACAACAACCTGCTATAAACACAGTCATGTCCTTTAGTCAAACATCAACCTTCTATAAACACAGTCATGTCCTTTAGTCAAACAACAACTTTCTATAAACACAGTCATGTCCTTTAGTCAAACAACAACCTTCTATAAACACAGTCATGTCCTTTAGTCAAACAACAACCTGCTATAAACACAGTCATGTCCTTTAGTCAGAAAACAACCTTCTATAAACACAGTCATGTCCTTTAGTCAAACAACAACCTTTTATAAACACAGTCATGTCCTTTAGTCAAACAACAACCTGCTATAAACACAGTCATGTCCTTTAGTCAAACAACAACTTTCTATAAACACAGTCATGTCCTTTAGTCAAACAACAACCTTCTATAAACACAGTCATGTCCTTTAGTCAAACAACAACCTTCTATAAACACAGTTATGTCCTTTAGTCAAACAACAACCTTCTATAAACACAGTTATGTCCTTTAGTCAAACAACAACAACAAACTGCTATAGACACAGTTATTTCCCTTAGTTAGATAATGATCTACTGTAGACATGGTTATGTTGCTTAGTCTTACTGGTTAACAACATACTCTCGATAAAACATTGAATCAACCATTTTTTCATTGGCTTCAACCTACATTTACCTGATTGTAGCTTCCTTCAACACACCAACACAACAGCAATAGATCCAGATTTCCCTCCTGACCTCACACAGTAAGAAAATCATACCCACAGGTAGTACCAAACATTAGTGTCCTTTTATGTCTTGGTGGAGACATGACACCAGTCTAACTACTCAAGCTGTGCATGGTTATATTATTATAGAAAGTGACCAAGGTCTTTGCTGACCATCATATCTCGGTGGAGACACGACATCAGCTTAACTACATGTATACAAGCTGTGCATGGTTATGTGTATGTATATAAAGTGACAAGGGGTGTGGGGTAAAATATAAGCAGCCTTACAAGGATCTTAAAGCATTACCATATACCCAGCGTTCACTCATCTAACTAATTTAATAACTCAATGAATACAAGGGAGATAATCTAGTGCTACACAAAAGGAAGAGATAACTGATATTTTCTTGTGCCTCATTCTTATATACTCTGAAAGTTCTAGTTCAAAATATTTATAATTATAAACATGCAGTTAATGAGATAATCAAGAATGTGTTATTTGTTTATTTAAAATTCAGTATATCAATCTGTTCTATGTTTATTAAATCTTTTAAATATACTTTTGTAAGATTACAAGATCTCGTTTTTAATTTTTAAATGAATATTACAGTATCATTGTTCAGATGGGTGAGGAATACTATCTACAGAATTCTGCAAGCCTCTCAAGATAAAAAAAATGTAAAACTCTGTACTAAATCAAACATGGGTATCTATAAAATGCAAAGTTGGGGGATTCAAAACAGGAAGGTAAAGATCAAAGTCAGCCAAAGTTCAAGGTCATGCCTGATGCAAAGTCAAAGAGCAGATGGTACCTGTGATGAGAAACCCCTCAGGTGTAAACTTCAAATCACCGAATATCTTCTGTATATGTTCCTTGGCTCGGTCAGTATTTGAGCTACCATGTACAGCATTCTTCAGTATATCTCCACCATACAAGGCACGTAACCTAGGAATAAACAAAATTTCATGTTTCATAGGTTTATATATTTATCACTTAATACCACAGAAAGAAAGGTAGAAGCCTCCTGTTGAAATAAGACCATATAAGTTTGGTAATGGTCAGTAGGTATAAATCATCAAAAATTTTTTCTCTGGTTCATTAACCAAATAATTTACAAATATGAAAAATCTTGTGCATTGTCAAAACAGATTGTCAATGGTGAACAATTTACCACAGCATTTTTGTAATAGTAAGTGTTTCACAATTGGTTTTTTTTTAAAATACCCAGTTAATATCTTCCACCTGCCGTCTTTTGGAAATCTTTTGAGAACCATTAATTTAATGAAGCTGGCAGAAAAGTACTTACGATTCTGGACTCTCCTCTTTTGCCTTCTCTGGATCGGTAGGACCGATCAGTGACCGCCAGCCATCTACAGCATCTTCTCTTGAAAGCACCATAAACATTGTTGGACCACTAAAAGGAAATCAAACTTATTATAGAGCAAGTTAGTGAGAATTTTTTTTTTCTATACTATATATCACTGACATTAATTATCTTATTATCAATTATTGAACCAAATAATCAAATTTTCATGCATGCTATCAAAACACATTATACACAGGGAGGTACAAGATTTTGTTTGAGATCCAGATTCAGGGGTAAATATTTCCAGCGAACTCATCTACTGAAAAATAAGTTTTTTTTTCTGATATATCAATTATAAAATGCTTTAAGGAGAAAAATGTTAACTGACCTTGACATATGTTCCACAAGGTCATTATAATAATCTTTGTCTTTGTGATCTGAATAAAATTCTTCAGCAATTTCTTTGGATAACGTCGTCTCTTTTCTTGCAGCAATTTTAAATCCGGCTTCGTGTACTTTTTCAATAATTTCATCTGAAAAAATAAATGTTTTCAATGTATTGTAATTACATACTATTCTCATCGCAGAATATGTAAAAACGATATTGCTTCGCTAATATTCTGCCAAAAATTGATAGATTATTGTCAAAAAAATAATTTTATTCAACAAAAATCATTATAGTTTTTTTCTTTTACAAATACTGCAATGATTATCTCAAATACATGTAATAACAACAATTTGAGAAACATCCATGAGAGCGATACATCAGAATTGATTACAGTATCTGCTCATCGAAACTGTAAACACTAAATGAATGTCTTTACGATAACTTTTTCACATAAATAAGTTAAATAAAAATACGAAAAATATATCTTTATCTGCAATCTTCACTTAAGAATGGTAACCTTAATGTGTTTCCTGACCTTGAAAAATGTTTAAGAGTTAATAAAAATTATGGTCATTCAGTAGAAACCTGATATAAAATTTAATAAAATTATCATCGGATCATTGAAGGTAAAAAATATTTCTTATATATCGATTGTTCTCTTCCCTGGAAGTTCTAGTGCAGTATTGCTATAAAATGAAAATTATCTCGATAATTAATTGATGACTTGTGTACCTTTAGTTCCTAAGGCGTCCGGCTTGATGACTGCCATTGTTTGTTGTACTGGGAAGAAATACTCGAGTTCTTTTTGAGCTGAAGATTCTGAATCGGAACCATGGAACTGGTTTACCATTACATCCTCAACAGCAAATTTGGCTCTTAAACTGAAACACACACACAAAGACAAACTTACAAACATCAGAAAATTTATCAATAAAAAGGGATAAGTATCATGACCCATGTACATCAGACACGCTACCTTAGAGAAAAACATCATTGTTACAGTAAAACTCATATAAAAACAAGACCTGGCCCCACTTGTATAAAACATCTCAACTTGAGATTTCCTCATGCCCAGATTTTCCTCAGCTAATATCTCCTTGAAAATATCTTGTATGAAAATTCCTCAAGGAATTTCAGGACATCCTAGCCGATGCCTTCCTCCTGTTCCTTGAGAAAATTTTATACAAGCCGTTTTTGAGGAGATACCAGCTGAGGAAAATCTCAACTTGAAGAAATCTCAAGTTGAGATGTATTATACAAGTGAGGCCTGATTAGATACAAAATGCTTATTCAAACAGAATATTCTACTTCAAACCAGATGCAACAAGGCATTTGATTGGTTGATTAAATAATTTGCATGAAATCATTTCAATAAAATATTTTCTTGCATATGAGGACTACATAGACTACATACATGTATGTCTTTGTCCATGACATTAATAACCTTGACTTAATGTGATTTTAACACACTGTGAAATTTTAAACCACATTTAATGACTTTAATGATGTCCCAAACAATTCCAGGACTATAAAAGGTTAATATTATACCACCTCAATTTCAGTGTTATCATTATATCACTTCTCCTTACATCCAGGGAGAAATGATGGCAGTGACTCCGGCAGTGGGTTATGTTCGGTATTGTTGTGATACAAGCCGCCAGACAAAGTGTGGCATATCTCCAATTTTAATGAGATATATGCATTGATTCAGTGTGTTATGTTCCCTGTAATAGTGAGTTGTCTCCCCTGTTTTAGCAAAATATACATTTACATGACTGTGAGCTATGTACAGTGTGAAAAAGTAAGACGTGACCTTGTTCCTTGACAATTATGTCCCAGGATATAAGGAGTTACACCCCTTGTAAAAGTGAGTTGTGTCCCCTGTAATAGTGAGTTGTGTCCCTTCTCACAGTGAGTTATGTATTTAAATGCAGTATTCCTTACCTATCTGGTGCCTCTTCCTTGGCTTTTTCCAGTTCTTTGGGTCCCAACATACTTCTCCAGCCCTCAACAGCATCCTCTCGTGCCAGACCAAGTGCCAACAATGGACCGCTGTAACAGTTAATAAAAATAACTACACATTGAACAGATTCACTTCATCCAGAATTGATAAAAAAGAAATTGCTCTACTGTTAGAAATACATCAAACAAACCGGTAAAGGTCTATAAGACGTGAAGACCCCTGCTGTCATGCATAAAAATATCAATTTTCCATCAACTGCAGAAGTTGTAAAATGTGAGCTTTGAATTGTACACAGCATGACCTGACTGGATGGGAACTGATGGGATGAGAATTGATGGGATAGGACAGACAAATGTAGCACTAAATGCCCACACCCCATAAAATGGCAGACGCAATCAAACAACATTCACTTTTCTTATGCTGAATGGTATTTAGGTGATCTGAATTTTAAGTAACCAACTTTACACAGAATTCTTTTGAATACTTTGTGATCGCAACACCAGTGGAAAAGCATTTCAGTACAAAGTTCAAAGTACGAATGTATCAGCAACTGCGGTTAAGCTGACCTTGACATGCGTGTCGTGAGTTCATCAAAGTACTCCTGACCCTGGTGTTCTTTATAAAAGTCTTCAGCCATCTCTTTCGTCAGTGACATTTCCTTCTGTAGAGCAATCTTGAATCCGGCATCACTAATCATCTGTATTACCTCATCTGTAAGGCAGAAAAATATGTTAGAATCATGTCAAAACACAGCACAGTCAAGGTCATCGAAACAGAACTGGGTCAAAAATATGTCTGGATAATGTCAAAACACAGTATAGTCAAGGTCATCGAAACAGAACTGGGTCAAAAATATGTGAGGATAATGTCAAAACACAGCACAGTCAAGGTCATCGAAACAAAACTGGGTCAAAAATATGTGAGGATAATGTCAAAACACAGCACAGTCAAGGTCATCGAAACAGAACTGGGTCAAAAATATGTGAGGATAATGTCAAAACACAGCACAGTCAAGGTCATCGAAACAAAACTGGGTCAAGGTGATACACATATTTGCATGCATCCAGATGAAGAATATAAGTACTAAACATTAACTAAGTGACACAGTGTATATCCTGGTTTATACCAACTGAATTACGTAGATATAAAGAATCTGAAATAAGTTTTTATTGCAAATAAGATTTTATGAAATGATTCTTAGAAATTTACATTTTTCCGAGCCTTGCAGGATAAAAATTAAAACTTTGAGACAAAGTTTGTAAAATCTCCTATAAAATGAAAATAATTGTATGGCATGTCCTATCACGTAACTCAAAAAAAGTTACATTTTGACCAATTTTTAAGTAGAATTGTTGAGGATAAAATCAAACAAGAGACAGTTATTTCATTTCTTCGTGTTGTAAGGTCACTTTACACTCTATGTCATCACAATTAATTTCTGACTGGCACAGCAAATGAAAACTGCTCAAGGGTTTTTGACACAAGTCATTTGTGCAAAAAGTGAATTCACTATATCGGATGAAGTGATATAGTTAAATATTTCATTACTGATGACAATCTGAGTCGTTACCTTTGTGTAGTCTGAAGGCGTCTGGCCTGATAAGAGCCAATGTTCTCTGTAGTTTGGGTTTTCCCTCAGCTGCTGGTATGGCATAATCAGGGAAAAAGAAGGCCAGCTCCCTGTGGGTAGAAAATGACATTATTTTACAATCTTTTCAAAAACTTTAATAAATTATTACAATGTAAACATCATTCTTTTACAGTAAGAACTGAAACTTAACACAGAAGATATCTTAATTCGACATTACAAAACTAACTACCTCTTGTTCTTTATCTTGTCTAATCAACTATTTTAACCTTCTTTTTTCACCAGATATCTCTTACGTTATTAACAGTTTTTGTAATTTTCAATACACTGAAGCATGTTTATGACAGAGAAACTTTCTCTTTATTTCTTTAATTCATTTACCAACTCAATACGTTTACAGGAATGCCTTGAAGCTTTTTTTAGTAAATCTATTTATCAATATTTTACTATAGTGATGAAAAAGCTTTACCTCATAGCTTGGTCCTCAGAACTGCTACCGTGTAAGGCATTCATATATGTTTCCTGACCATGTTTTGCCCTCAAGCTGTGAAAACAATACAAAATTTTGAATATTTGAATTCCCAGTTCACTGCAAAGATCTCTTTTTTATCTTTGTGCTATGATCAGTATGCAGCAATTTTAATTAGTTTAAAATTCTAAATGAAGCACCTTTTTAACACTAGACACAAATTTCTGATATTTTCATATCCATAGAAAACAGCAATACTTCATTTGCAACTTATTAACTTCTACTAAACACAGATATTTTACGACAGTTACTGAATACATCATGCAACATGTACATATGTGTTATAATTCCAATGTGCCTGAAGAATTTCAATAAACAGTGCATTTTCAACCTAATTCATTATTTTTTTAATATAAATCTTATTTATGCTGAATGTCATGTTTTGCACAAAAACAACAGCATTAACCTATGGGTATACTATTGTACGTAAACGCTAGTAGTTTGCTATATGTAAGCGAGCAAAAACATGTATCCATACAGTAATAATATGACATGCTTCGTCACATTTCACTCTACCTTTCTGGTTTATTTTCCTTTGCCTCTTCTACTGATGTAGGTCCTATCAGATCTCTGAATTCGTTTATAATGTTTTCACCGGTTCGTCCCTTTGTGAGTACCAGTATGTGAGATGGGCCGCTTGTCATGATTGTGATCAGATCATTGAAGAATTCCTGGAAGGGGAGATAATAGATGTTATTCTAAAAATATCCTGATTTTTGTAGAGTTTCTAATAGAGACAGATGATACTGATGTAGTTGTCATTTATAATGATAATCTATACTTCTATCAGTTTATGGTTAACACAGAATATATAGGTAATTAGAAGACTATTGTAATTTCTAGGAACTGACATCCAATCATGAATAATATTTCATCTGTCAGAACTCCTCTTACATTTCTAGGAACTGAGAGACATTCTTTGAATAATTTACATTTCTGAGAACTGAAAGTCAACATTGCCTAATCTTACATTCTAACTAACTTACAGCTACTCAGAACTAAGGAAGATTCATTACCTCGTCCTGGAGATGAGTGTAGATGTTCTTAGCTTCGTCCTCTGTCATCAATCGTTCTTCCTGTTTCAGGATCTCAATACCATGGGCCTTGATCTATGGAAAAGATAATGAACATTATAACTATGGAAATTAACTAAACTATCAAACATTGAAATTTAGTTACAAACTTTGGAAGTATTTTATAGGTTTGTCTCATCAAATTGTTGACAAAATTACCAGGTTTATATAATTTTACAGGGTTAGGTACACTTACATCCTCAATAATCTCATCCACTTTACCAGCCTTTACAGCGTCTGGTTTGATGACGGCAACTGTGACCTCTTTCTTTGTCTCTGTTGAAAAATAAAAGTTCAAAGTTCAAAGTTAAAATAAATATATACTCTATATGCATTGCACCAGCAAAACTTCTTGAGAGTGGAAAAAAAGCACAAGGGTGATTATTTTGAACAGTGTTGTCATATTATCCGATAAATTACCTATTCTTTGACTGATGGACAGTTCTAAGTTTTCAAATCAATCAAATGATTTTAGTAAAACTTTTAAAGTGATGTTTGGCTGCTACATAATAAAACATCATGCTTGGAGAAAAACTAAATGCATGTAAAGTTCAGCATCTCTAAGAATAACAACACAAAATTAAACGCTAGAATTTTATCTTTCCATATTCATCGTGACATCTATGATAAGAACAAAACAGTTATGGAAATGATTTGATTTACAAAATGACAGCAATGTGTGAACAAACTGTATATATTCTAGCGTAAAAGTGAAATGATATTTTGGATACTGAACAAGTGAAAAAGATAAAAAATTAAATTATAAACAAAGAAAGCATGCATGTGTTGAAGTATACAATTAAAGATATTGTAAGGAGTGCTTATGGACAGTACACAGTATAGTCTTTATCTTATATCTGTATACTTGTGCTGACCAAGTACGTGACTTGACTGAAGTGCTGAACAGAATTTAGATTGCAAATAGGCTAAAAGTAATTTCTCAAGCCAATCATCAAATGTTGTTCCTCAAGACATTATTCATTTGACAGCAGAAATATCCACTGCCAAATTATAGTACGATCATTAGACTATGGTAGCAGTGTACTGACATAGATTACAGGATTTTACGAAGGAAATAATTATTTTCTGGAATAGACTATAGCATGCATGGCATTCATAATAACAAGGTATTTATATAGTATAAAATCAATCATCTTTCACTCCATTCTTGAGTAGAACTGTTTTGAATATGAATTATACCATAATTTTTTTTGTTTTTTTTTTTTAAATGTTATTTGTTAGACAAAAACTATCAACTGTTTAAAATATTAATTATGTACATATATATAAAAAACAATCATAATATACCAATATTGTAAATAAACAAGACTATTGTCAATGTTGATTAACTTTGGTATTATAGATATTGTTGATTACTCTGACAAACAAACACTTTACAGCAACTCAAAAAAACCTTTTCACCATGTAAAACATGACATGCCTAATAATTAATACATATAATTATGATTAATTCACAAATTTCTATAAATAGAATTTTATCTTTGTAACTATAGTGATAAATAAGTAAACAATATGGTAGAATACATGAGTTAAAGTTCATCAATAAATTACTGTTGTGATTTGAAGCTTCTGACTACAGGGTTTACTACCAGAGTAAGTTAGACAGGCATGTTACTGATGAGGGAGACAGATGACAACATCAACACATTACAGAGAATTACTTCTACAGTTACAGGTATAAAACCATTATTCAACCTTGTGAGCGGTCATTTTCATCCCCATAATTGATGATTTCACCCTTAAATTTCATTTGTTTTCCGCCTGAAATAAAATGGTGCAAAAGTTGGAATGTTACACAGGATCAACACTGTAGATGAAAATTACAGGGTACACAGATTTAAAATACTGAGGTCTTTAGTTATTGGGTAGAAAGTTGGGGTTAAAATTAACACAGTTGAAAATTTCAAAATGTCAGGAATTATAGCAGTTAAAAATTTTGCAGTTTAAAGTTTGAAAATCAAAAAAGTTATGCAAACACTTTTCCACAATCCCATATTAGTAAATAACTAAGTTTAAACTCTGTTTGTAATAAAGACAATGCATTTGAAAGCAATTTGATGTCTTTGTTAATATTTATAGCAAATGGTTAAATTCCAAACTGAAAAACAAAAATATTGGAGATAAATCTTATTTTTTTCAATAATTGAAGATAAGTGAGTACATGTAGGTGCTTAATGTATTCTAACCACATTTGTCTGTTCCAAAAAATACTGAATATGAAACTAAATATTTATAAAAACTTTGAATGCAGTGTAAACTTTAGAGGAACTTTTATAAGATATATGTATGACATAAAGTCTGTTTTTAAGCTGTTTTCAGAAACTTTCCTTGGTAAATTGACTTTGCAATCACCAGAAAGGAAGTTAAATTTTTCAAACATGTAGTGATTTTTTCACTACATGATGTGGTAGTATTAAGCAACTTGTACACCAGTATTATCTTTTGTAAACAGAAAATGTCCATGTAATCTATATATTTAACTGTATCAGTACTGATTTCTGAAGTCTTAAAAAATTCTGAGTCAATGAGTATTGTAACGTAAACTGACTCTTTGTATAAGTCTTCATTTGAATCGTTTTTAATAACAGATTTTTTGTGAATAGAAATTACCTTGTGGTTGATATGTCAGGCAAGATGTACAAAATTGCTGAATGAAATTGAAGTTTTCTTATTCTGCTAAAGTTTCTAAACATTGAAGATAAAATTGTAGATGCCAAAACTGAACTTACAAAAAAAAAAAAAAAAAAATTCTTTAAAATATTCTTTTAAATGACATAAAAACCCTTCAGTCATCATTAAATTTTAAATGGACATTTTCTGATTAAATACAATACATCACTCTATAAAGATCACATCAAACTTTATAAAAACAATTCATATTTTTTTGTTTCTTCGCGATGATTACACATAATCAAGCATGCTGCCACAACGGTGGCCAACTGTGCCGTTACAAACTACCTTTCTTACTGGCTGGCCGACCTAGATGACACAATAAAATATCTACATCTTATCTATTAGTCTAATACTACAAAACTAATACACAGTAACACATTGCAGTCCTGGACATGTATAAGTGTAGCTCATTTTACCAATGATAAACCCTAAGTTGGAATTAGTCATTACAGATGACGGATCATAAATAACAAGCTTTATGTGCAATCAAGGAATTATCACAAACAAAGAAATTTTGAAAGAGAAAATATTTGACTTCCTGGATTCATGAAGAGATTGAAATGGAAATTTTTAACTAAAAACTTTTATTTTAAAAATCAAAGTAACATCATTCTTTTACAAAAAGGATCTTGTTTTTGACAGAAATACTTGATGAAATGTGCTTCAGTTTAAACCATGTTAAAGTTTTGTTTCAGCTATAGGAACCTCCTTAGAATTTATCATTAGTAAACTAAGGTAGATCTAGGTTAGTGACAGAGGCTGTACAGTGAATGAAAAATAATCAGAAAAGTTATCAGATGTGGAAATAAAACAAAAACAGAAAATGCACAGTTATCTGTAATGAAAACATCTGATAATTGTTTTATTTTGGAGAATGACAAAATATCATTTCCATTGATGGAATGCACGATAAATCTGAGGAAAATCACGGTATCTGACCTGATAAGTGCTATCAGTTCCCATTAGTTCCCCCCCCCCTCCCCCCATCCATCCCCCCCCCCCCCATCCATCCCCCCCTCCCCCATCCATCCCCCCTTCTCAAAGGAGTAAATTCTGAAAGCTTGTGAAAAGGCTGCTTACTTTAGAAAATTACTTAAATACTTTTCCTTTTATCTGTTTGCCCAGAAATTATCCTATTCAGCAATGTTCTCTTTCCCAACCATTACTACGGTAAAGCTGGTTATTTTTGTGGGAATGACATTTCATTACTTTACGGGACATCAACATGATCAGATTATATAAATAGATTATATTATAGTTCAAATGATAAAACACATTTAAATTTCGCCAGAGATATAAACAGCATCTAAACAAGACTGTCATATCAGTTCTGCTTCCAATGTTTTCAAGGATATATCAACAAGTACTGTTGTTTGAAATGGATTAAAATGGTATGTGATACAGATTTTTGTTATATTGTACAGACCATTTGTGTTACAAGTATAAATCCCATTGGATCATACTGATGTTTGATAGATAACTTTAGCTATAACAGATTTGAAACTTGACATCAGGAGAAATATTTGTGAAAATTAAATATTCAATTCATCGCATCAAATTCATACTCCTATATATCAAATATACATATCATGAAATTTTTCAATTCAAAAAATTTAATTTTATCATTTTAAATGAAATTGGCGATAAATTTAGACTCATGAAAATTAACTGGTTATATGATATACACTCAAATGGAAACTTTTGGCAGTAAATATTTTCATAGAATGAACCACTTTTGTGTTTTAAGAGCAAATACAGTGATAACAAGTTAAATACATCTTTAAACCAACAATTACAGTTTCTGGGGGACAATCATAACAAATCTAATTCTCATCAAAAAATATGGAAACTTTGGACAAATACAGAGAAACTTCCTACATATTTCAACCCACTTTTCCCCCATAATAAGGACACAACTACCTGCTTACATTTCAATAATTCAATTGAGTTGATATTTAACAATCATATAGGACCACCCTCCTAATCCATCCACATTTGTATAATAACACTCTTTTTAATACAGTTTCAAACACAATTGATGTTAAAATAAAGAAGACAAAATATTAAGGAAACAGTTTTCTAAGCATAATTCAAATGCAATGTTACACAGTGTATCATTGAAATAGGACAAAGAAATTTTGTATTGACAAAAGATGTTTATGATAAACACATACAATATATATAAAGGTCAGATGTCAAAGATAAATCTAAAAACTACTCAATGTCTATAATGAAATAACAACAATAGGGAGTAAGAGTGGTACGGGGGTAGGGTAAGGTGATATGGCGGTATGGGGGTAGGGTAAGGTGGTATGGGGGTAGGGGTAAGGTGGTATGGAGGAAGGGGTAAGATGGTATGGGGGTAGGGGTAAGGTTGTATGGAGGAAGGGGTAAGGTAGTATGGGGTAGGGATAAGGTAGTATGGAGGAAGGGTTAAGGTGGTATTGAGGTAGGGGTAAGCTAGTATGGGGTAGGGGTAAGGTAGTATGGGGGTAGTGTTAAGGTGGTATGAGAGTAACAGTAAGGTGGCATGGGAATAGTGGTAAGGTGGTATGAGAGTAACGGTAAGGAGGCCTAGGAATAGTGGTAAAGTGGTATGAGAGTAACAGGAAGGTGGCATGGGAATAGGGGTAAGGTGATATGGGGGTAGGGGTAAGGTGGCATGGGGGTAGGGGTAAGGTGATATTGGTGTAGGGACAAGGTGATATGGGGGTAGGGACAAGGTGATATTGGGGTAGGGGTAAGGTGGTATGGGGGTAGGGACAAGGTGATATTGGGTAGGGACAAGGTGGTATATGGGCTGGGGTAAGGTGGTATGGGGGTAGGGGTAAGGTGATATGGAGATAGAGATAATGCGGGAATTTGAAGATAAGGAGGTAAAAAAGTCGGGAGGTACAGGGACAAAGATATTATGTTACTGCACTATACAGTTACTGACCATCCTCTGCTTCCTCTTCATCCTCATCCATTTCATTATCCATGTTATCCACCATAGAAATGTATGGGTCCTTGATCTAACATGAAATCAAACATCAGTACTAGTCTTGATCTTTCACTTCACTTCTTGTTTTAAAGGTATCTAAATTTTCTGATTAAGATATTAAAAATTTGGATCTTGACCTATAACCCTATGATCTTGACCTTTGGTCTGGTGACTTATTGCTTGATTTTGCCAGTTTTACTTTGCATCTCATGTCATAAAGTGTTTATCAGAGGATCTGACCAGGTGACCTTGACCTTTGATAAATGGAAATGCTTTGATTTAATAGAGAATTTATGGAAAGATTTCAGAACAGAGTAAAGTGGTAATAAGTTTCTTGTTGGTAACCTACCTCTTTCCTTTCTCCTGAGCCATCAATAACCTTGTGCTCGTGTTGTAACTGTTCTGTGACTGTTCTCATTACCTGTGGAGAGTTAGCTCCCCTGACTACAGCCACCAACACTCCTCCCTGTGTGTCATAAATAATACATTAGGCATGTACTTATTTTGAAATAAATATTTTTTTAAATATTTGCTATGATGGTACAAATTTTGACATGTATGACATAAAACTTGATGAATGAAAATAAACAGGTAATGGACAAAACACAAGCTTGTCATTGATTACAGCACTTTCAGCAGCTTATCTTATAAAGTTGTAACAGTTCACTGAAATAATTTAAGTATTTTGAAATTAAAAATAATAACTGAAATTTCAATGCAACCTTACCGCATAGAACAGGAAACATGGCTCACAGCGCCCTCTGTATTTCTCCAGTGCATCAATCGTGTCTGCTTTAGCCTATTTTACAGTGATGTATATATAAATATATTATTTTAAGTAATTTATGGTGATAGAAATGTATTTGATTTAATTTTCCAGGTACAGTCTTTTTTTTTGTATCAGAAATTGTACAAAATCATTAATGTTTCAAATAGAATTTATACATATATATGATTTCAGCATTTCCTTTTAATCTATTAATTCATTTTAACATGTACATGTCTTCAGTTTGAATGTTTATCAAATTACATTTCCAATCAATCATTTTTATGAAAGGACGATGACTTCACTTAGATGATACTGAATATATTTTTCTGTGATTTATTCAATTTATTTTATTACATAGATAAGTAAAGAACAATATCTGTAAAAGAAATCATTTGGACAAGTAATTGTACTGAATGGTAAACAACAAAACAGACATGCAGAAAACAAAACACACGTGCAGAAAACAAGACAAACATGCACATGCAAAAAGACAAAAAAATCTTGTAAAGTACTTCCCTGCATTTTTATTTTTTTTTTCAAAAACAAGATACAAGAAATCACTAAAAATATTGTTTTAAAGAATTTTTTTTTTTTTTTGATTATTTGTTATCAATGAAATTGACAAAACTGTTTTTAATTACTTCATAAATTTGACAGAGTAAGCGAAAAGGCCTATCAAGCTTTAACACACCTTAGTGTTTAGGGCACAAACACTACCAGAACAACAGCACAATTTTGATAACAAAGTCTCAGCCAATCAGATGCCAGCAGTGCCATTTTTAAAAATTTTGAATCAGCGAGAAAATGAGGTTTGACTGATTGACTTTCTTGCAGAACACTGAGTCAGGAATCAATGTCTGAGGGCAGTTCTGTCCTCCGAAATGTTCAACACTGTTATTTACATTAATTAAAATATTACATTGCTGTGAGTAAATGGTAAAGGATTTATTCAATCATAACTGAAATAGAAATACCTGTTAGCTGGCTGACAATTTGATTGACTTTCCAACTTTATTTCACCTAGAACATATTTAGCTTTATATTTTCAATCAGAATGCATTTGACAATTTTTTTGTCTTCATTGTCAGATCCTTTAGAAATAAAAAACAAAGTATATAGACGACAGTACTGAGCTTAGGTTTTCGTTTAATATTCACGGGAGTACAGAATGTACTAGTACTGTTACAAAAACTTAAGACCTTGTAGAATCAAGAAAAAACATCTGTTGTATATGCTAGCCAAAAAAACACTGTTGAAATTTCCCGTTTCTTGAAAAGCAAAAGTTGGCCTGTTGGTTACTGTGGAGAAGTTGCAAAATTTGTGACCTTTGACCCAACAGGTAGGACTTTAATTTGACCCATTTTGTATTATAATACAGTGCACCAAAGATTATCTACAAAAGATGTTATTGCATGAATACTGCATTATCAACAATTTTTGAGATTTGGCCATTTTAAGATTTTGACCTATGACATCACAGCAGCCATATATAATACTTTACTGACAGTGATAATCTCTTCTACCGCTTAAAGTTTATGACAAACCAAAATACAGAAGAATTAGATTAAGAAACATTGAAGCAACAATAGGTTATTTCACCCCAAAAATTCATTAAAGAATGAAATATGACATCATCAGGTCACGATGTAGGAAGTGTGCATCGTTTTAGGCTAAAATGCTGCTGAAAAAAGACATCATGAAAGAAAGATTAAAACAGGGTGATATACTTCTGGTGCATGAACAAGACAATAGTGAAAGTACAAAAGGCAAAATTTGTCAACTAGACAATTGTGGTACACTACAATAGGTAGCAATGGTCAGCTATACAATAGTGATACACTACAATAGGTGGCATTGGTCAACTATACAATAGTGATACACTACAATAGGTGGCACTGGTCACTATACAATAGTGATACACTACAATAGGTGGCACTGGTCACTATACAATAGTGATACACTACAATAGGTGGCATTGGTCACTATACAATAGTGATACACTACAATAGGTGGCATTGGTCACTATACAATAGTGATACACTACATTAGGTGATGCTGGTCAACAAGATACTAGGTGATAATGTTTCTAGACTAAGATGAATGTATTCAATGAAAGTTGCTATTTACATTTTGTTTAAATTTTTTTTTTTTTGTTCAATTTTAGTTAAGGGGGTATGGTGCCAAAATTTGACAGTTATTCAGAAAGTTTGGTAATTTATTTATTTTGGGCTTGCAGAGCTTGAAGAGTCATTGTCTCAGTTCCTCTCCATAACATATTGAGAAACAATGTCCTAGTACTACTGCAACAACAACAAAAAAAATCTGAACATTTACTAGTAAATTGTGCAAGTTCTAGATAAAAGGTTGGATAATATAACTGTGTATCAGGTTTGTTCCTTTCAGATTCCAGCTTCTTGCAAAAATCTAGACATAGGGTATTGATTTTAAATTGTGAGGAAATGATAAATAAACCCAAATTTTATAAATGTTTAACTAAGAGCACTCTTCTTTTTGAGAATTGGTCTGGACATGATAAATATTTTTTTCGTTCTTTCACTAAATGTTCAAGAAAAGAGAAAGATGAGCGCGAATTCAAGCAATAATCAAAAATGACATTCCAAGTAAGTAAAAAATACTAAGAACCATGAAGTAGAGAGAGCTTAGCAGAAGTAGGAGTTGTTAAAATGACACTAGTAATACCTAGGATTATAGAACATAGACCTATCCTCTAAGCACCACAGAGTTAGGCTCTAGCTGGACGGTTATATATAGAGATTTTACAATTATCCTGGGTAGACAGACTAAAACTTACGATTGCAAAATGTAGTAAGTCATCGCCAAGTTCATTTTTTAATCGTTTTAAGTTAGCAACAAGCCCAGTGCATGGCCCGCACCACTCCTGGTAAACATCTACCACTGGAATCAAGGTCAAATTATGTAAACACGTTAGAAGCAAAATTCAAACCATTTCAAACATTTTCATGAATATGAAGATATGAAAACAAAATGTATATTTTCTGACATTTTACATTGCAGATAGGTTGAAAATATACTGCAATGATGTATATTTTGTAAAATAAGTTTAAAAGAATTTACACTTTTACAAAAATGATTAATTTAAATGGAATTTAATGCATAAATTAAAAAAAAAAATATCAGAACTTAGCATTTTGTTTTCATTCTCAAACATGACTGATAAGTGCATTAAAGGGTTTTGAGTACAACCAATACAATCACGTCATTGTTACGCACCAAAAGCTCAACCAAACTGCGAAACAACTCCGTGTTAGGACTTACGGTAGCAAATTTGAGAAGTGGATCACCCAAATCATTTTTAATTTTTTTGAAGACTCCAATCATTCCTACGCATGGCCCACACCATTCCTGGTAAACGTCTATAACTGGTAACAAAACACTAGCAGGCTATTACACACGATAAACAGGACTGTCCAACGGACATTACACTCGATATCCACAATATCCGAAGGCCTTTATAAATGATAAACAGTACAGCTCAGTACTTCTCTAATCCTTTTACTAATCTTTTAAATTGTGTTGCCATGTTTAAGATTCATAAGATGATAATATTTCTTTATCACAATATTTTACTTGATTTAGTTCAATTGATAAAACATAATTCTTGAAAATGACCCTATACATTGGTCAGCAGGGCTTCTATGTCACCGTGTTATACAGGTCTCTTTTACCTGAAAATATTTATAAAACATTGAATAAAAAATTGTTACAAAACTCTGATGTAGTTTCAATTTTCATTTACGATTTTTCTTTATCATAAAGTGACATACAAATATACATGTATATAATACAATATCTGTGTGCTGCATCCAGAATAAGACTTCGTACAGATATACAAAGAAAACAACTAGCTGACAATGATCAGTGACATGCTGGGGTGAATACTACATTCAGGTGATGTTTGAAATCATTTTAAGAGCCTTAACTACACATAATTAATATTTTTTTGTTTGTAGACTCCACCAATGAACAAGTTCCTTCATTCAGCTTGTTCCATATATTGTATTTTACCTATAATAATTTTTCTGTACCTTTTATAAATGTTCAGTAAGGTTTTTTGTCTTTCTTTCTGATTTCCACAAAACTAGAGATCAGAAAACAAAAGTTCAGGAGATGCAGAAATAATATATTGAAAAATAACTCTTTTTTTTTAATTCAGATTTTTTCATACAATAGGTTTTTGTATTGAAAGATGTCTTTATCAATTAAGAAGCTTTATCATTTTTAGGGATTTAGGACATGTCTAGAACACATTATTTATTGAATAGAACATTACAAATTAATTGCAGTCAAAAATAGACAGGAAATCAGTAAGGCAATATAAAATTACAGTACACTATGTAATCATTTTTAAAACTTGAATTCTGAACGTTTCTGGTGAATACACTAGCTTGTAATGACAAAATATATCATTCAGTGACCAATGTGTTCATTACAAAATACAATTAATTACCACTTACCTAAAACTCACGTCAGATAAAATCTAGCATATAAATTAGCAAACTTAATGTCAGTTTAAAATGTATTGATACAATTGATTTTAAAAACATGAAGATTATTTCATTCAGAAAAGATTCAGGTTAAAATGTGTAAAATAATTGTATGTAGCGATATTTTTTTATAGTTTTAAACAGCAGTTTCTCCTACAAATAACAATAACTTCATCATGTGCATTTAATAATTTTCCTGCAATATGCAAAAATGGTAGAATTATCATTTATTACAAAACAAATATTTTCTTTTTTTTTTACACAGATTTATACACCACAAAATTAAACAGTTTAAGTGGGTTATAAATCACAGTGGTAATACACTGAACAAAAATTCTTTTCAGTGTATCTATAATTCTCTATGGACATGATAACTGACCTTGTATAATTATGACTGGCAATCTCTATAATAAGTATGGTATATATGAGTCATAGGATATTAGCAAACATACACACCTTGCATTCCACCACCAAATAAATAATCTTTTTACCTGACGTATCAGCAAAGATGTATTTATTACCGTGACAACCAGGTAGGTGCAGCAGGTAGCCAATCGCAACGACAGATCAGGGGATATTTGGAGTGGGGGGGGATAGGACATGGGGAGATAACTCTATAATATCCTGGATAGATCTGACAGAATGGATTACAGCATAGGTGTCTCTGTGCACATCTTTTTTTTTTTACATGGGAATCGTCAATAGCCTCTGAAATTATCTGTAACCCAAGGCCCTTAGCTGTAAACTAGATGTGTCATTATGACATCAACGTCCCCACCAGCAACCAATTGGAAGCATGGAGACGTTCTAGTGTTAAGTGAGCTTTTGAAATAAACTTTTCAGAATCAAATGTGAAGTATAATGACAAAAAATCATTTATAACTCACTTAGTAGAAACAATACAACTACACTATCAAATTTTAAGGTTCAACACCCCCCCATCTGGCACTGAGAAAATAAATATTAACTGATAATTTTGAACTTTTAAAAAGTCTAAGAGTAAAAACTCCAACAAGAATAAGTCGACTTATTCTCAAAGCTCTACACCAAAAATTTCAGTTCATTATTTCCATCCATCCAGACGTAAACAAAAAAGGAACCAAATTAAGACAGAATGATGGCAACAGGCAATGATATAGTTTGGCACATTTCATGGCACAAAAGTGTAACATACCTTAACTACTAATGTACCTGTCAACTCATGTGATTATCAGTACAACTGACCAGTATATATATCATTTAATCACTTGGATACGAGACACCCATGGTGTACGTCAGTCCATCTAGACAGAGTTATTCTCAGTAACAGTTCCCATGTCTAATTTTAGTTTAGTTTTACTACATGTACATGAGAAGTCACCTAATGATGATGTGTTTCGAAGCTAAGAAATCTTCTTAAAAAATCCACACAATAGATTTTAATGAAAATAAAAAAAGATTATGGATCAGCTCAGAGCCCATTCCTAAAGAATTTGGTTTCAATGCAAAATGAAATATATAGACCCTCTATCCTATAGAGTACTGTATGTGAGTAACTGTCCCATATAGACCCTCTATCCTACAGAGTACTGTATGTGAGTAACTGTCCCATATAGACCCTCTATCTTACAGAGTACTGTATGTGAGTAATTGTACCATATAGACCCTCTATCCTACAGAGTACTGTATGTGAGTAACTGTCCCATATAGACCCTCTATCTTACAGAGTACTGTATGTGAGTAATTGTACCATATAGACCCTCTATCCTACAGAGTACTGTATGTGAGTAACTGTCCCATATAGACCCTCTATCCTACAGAGTACTGTATGTGAGTAACTGTCCTATATAGACCATCTATCTTACAGTGTACTGTATGTGAGTAACTGTCCCGTATAATCCCTCTATCCTACAAAGTACTGTATGTGAGTAACTGTCCCATATAGACCCTCTATCCTATAGAGCACTGTATGTGAGTAACTGTACCATATAGACCCTCTATCTTACAGAGTACTGTATGTGAGTAACTGTCCTATATAGACCCTCTATCCTACAGAGTACTGTATGTGAGTAACTGTCCCATATAGACCCTCTATCCTACAGAGTACTGTGAGTAACTGTCCGCTATAGACTCTCTATCCTACAGAGTAGTGTGAGTAACTGTCCCATATAGACGCTCTATCCTACAGAGTACCGTGAGTAACTGTCCCCTATAGACTCTCTATCCTACAGAGTAGTGTGAGTAACTGTCTCATATAGACCCTCTATCCTACAGAGTACTGTATGTGAGTAACTGTCCCATATAGACCCTCTATCCTACAGAGTACTGTGAGTAACTGTACCATATAGTCCCTCCTTGGACATGATATCCTCCCACTCCTCTTGTGTTTCTATCTCCTGCTGTAGTTGGATTTCCTGCTTTCGACGCGCCATGTTGCTGGCCTTTTTCTTGTCAGCCTGTCAAAATACAACATATCTTATTAAAGCTGTGTTCCTATTTCCCCAAGTCATTTATTATTATGGTTTTCTAAATTGACACTTTTTTTTTAATTAGATTGAACAGCTCCAGAAACATGAAATTGAACACTTCTGGTCCGAGCCCAATACCCTTGCCTGATTTCATCTGTCAAAGCTCAAACCATGACAAAGATGTCCCCAGCACCTTACTTGTATTGACATGCTTATTTGATTATTTACTAGGTTTTGAGCAGTGATTTCCTCAATGAATAATATGCAGGAGGCCCACCAAATGGGTAAAATATCTTGCATTGGGCAAGGACACAACAATGTCAGCACCAAATTGAACTTCACACCTCAGATCTTCTCTTGAAGTTGTAAAGTTTTATATTCTACTAACTGAGCTAATATGACACCATTTTTGTAAAAATCTGTTCATACTTACCTGGGAATGTTTTAAAGAGAAAACATTATTGAGTCTGTATGGTTAGTTAGCAAGTTTAATTCTTTATCTAACATCAGTACATTTTTTTTTCAAACAGTAGAAGAGGCCTTTAGGGTCGTATCGCTCACCTGAATGTTTTAGCAATTATTTTCACAAAATTTTTGTTCAATAGAAGGTAGAGATTAACTTCCCCTATGCAAATTATAAGTCCTTGCCCCCATCTTCCAAGAAGGGGTCAGACCTCTGTTTTCAGAATACAACTCTTCATACATAGAATGCTCCACACCGAATCTCTAGCCAAAAAACTCTCGCTCAACAGAACGAGATTTTCAATGATTGTCTTCTTTTTCCATATTAGGCTATTGGAGCCAGACCTTCCACTTATAAAAAAAAAACTGGGTCCTCTTCATGCAAGGACATGCTGCTTATCAAATTTGATACTTTAATAGCAACTTAGCAAGAATAATACATGATTCTCTTATTGGAAACTTAACCCTCAGTCAGGTGGGGGCTTAACAATTTCTTTTTAAATATATCTTCCAAGGATGGGCTTGACAAAATCTGGAGACTAACAGAAGAAAGAATATAGATTTAAATCTATGTCTCTTACTCTCAGCTCTCAAGGAACCAAGCAAACTATTTATCCATCTTTACAAAGTAAATGGCCCCTCTTCTCCCAAGGATGCTTCTGACTGAATTTGGTCAGAATCTTCTCAATCATCCATGTCCAGTAACAACTTTTAGAAAAAAGTTGACAATGAACAAAGTGTAATGACATAAACTCATTGGTTTCAAAACAAGGTAAGATAAAACATTGAAAAAAAAACATATATATCAAGTTATAGAAACATTTTAACACACAATTACTAATTAGAAATCATAACAACGAATATCTATACATACATTTACATTAAAAATGCAATTAGGAATTTTAACTGAACACAAACTTATTCTTTACAATTAATTTCCTATTTCAAGTTGAAATAATAATATATTTAAATTTACCTTAATTATTTAAAATTTTCAATTTCAGGATGATTATTACTCATGACACAAAACTACATTGTATACAATTAAGAACATTATTTTTTGTAAACAAATATTAGTGAATCTAAAAATAGTTGCCAACCTCTGAAACTGCCATTGGGGGTTATGACCTCCCAATCAGGATCATGACCTCTCAATGGGGTCATAACCTTTGAAGTGAAAATTCTGTATGGGAAATGACAATATTACTATTCTTGACAAAATAAATGTAATATTTACCAGTTGTATCTGACAAACAAAAATGACCAAAGGATTGATTTTGTTTAAATCACATAAGGGAGTATACTAGTAAATGAACAAGAATTACAAAATATATACCTATTTATGGTCATTTTACCATATATTATATAAAATGAAATTAAATATGAAAGGAAAGATTATATTAGTGATCCTATCACAAGGAAATTTATGCTTAACATGGATGACTTCTAGTCATTGATGGCTCTCTGGTGATAAGCAGATGTAACATATCTTTTTACAATGGAACATATGTCTGAAATTATTTTTACAAAGTTTCATTTCCTTTCTCTGTGTAAACACATTGACGCAAATTATTACTTTCTGAACAAGTACTTGATTAAATGTTCAGGTTTTTTGCCTTGTATTGATAGGCTGTGTTATCAACTATCTTGTTCTACAAAGTAAAATTCTGAAAAACTTGAATCTGGGTAACTTAGGGTCAAAGACTAGAACTGAAGGAAAAACCTTACATAACTAGAGGATCATTCAACTTTATAACCTTAGTCATAAAGTACAGTAAAATTAAGGTTGTAACACTGGTCAGTTGGCAACTATCAGAGAAGTTTAATGTGTTTTCTAAATCTGCAGCAAAATTTGATCTTTCCTGTAGACTGATGAATAAATTAAACTACAACAACCTTTAATTAAAACAAGTGAATCACAAATTTTCATTCAAGATTAAAACTGGTGACTGACAAAGAAAATAGAAAATTACTTGATGTAAAACAAACCAGCTGATTGTAACAAAATCCCTCTAACAGTGCAAAGCATTGTGCAAACTGGAATAAAATATTTGGAAAATATTCAGATCATATCACTCACTTCTATTTCTTATAAAAAAAAAAAGAACTACATAACTTCAAAACCTTAAACAAATGGTGAAAAGAAATCAAAAGAAATCTGAATTTTTGGATAACAAAAATCTGTTAGTAAAATAAACATGTAACGATACAATGGTATCAAATTTGAAAATAAAACTTTGAAGACATTGAAGAACCAATCAATAAATTTATAAAGCTGATCTTAAAACAGTTCATAAAGAAAGTTTGTAAAGAGAGATGCATATTGTATTATGACTGTATTTATAAAGTAAATTTACATAAAATGATTTCAAATATATTTCATTTCCTTGTTTTGGAGGAAATAAAGAATATCACTTCAGATTCTGTGATCTTGGATTTCAAATCAGATAAAATCACTGGTGTAAACTTAAGCTAGTAGATACCAAATGTGAAAGTTTTTAATGCTACATTAATCACAGTCTACTCCTAGGTAATATATTTATTGACCATTCTTTCATTTTCTTCAAAGTTAATTTGATAAAAACTAAAAAAAGTAAATATGAAAATTTGAAATTTAAATCAAATAAGATAAACAAAAAGATATTACCATGGTAACAGAATACAAGATGTGACTATACACAGCAGCTGATTGGTGTATTGGTCACCAATCTAAAGTAAAAAAAGTCACAGGAAATGTAATACACTGTACTCTGTCAATCTATCTGTCAATATAAGGACCAGTATTGTTAGGCCAACATCATAAAGTAAAAAAATCTCACAGCATATGTAAAGTTATACATTTTACTTGCCAATTATTCAATAACTGATATAATATGTTATGCATCTTTTTTTTGAAGTTTTGTTGGTTAAGAGCATGTTTCTTCATATTTTTGGGGGTTTTTTTGTCACATATGTATGTTCAACTTAGTTCTTCAACCTAGATTAAGGCATATAAACTCTACCATGAATTTCTTTATATGTTTTGCAAGATCAGTCAGAAAATCACCTGAAACAAAGTAAATGGTGGTAATAGACTGGGCATCATCAATTAGGCCCTGAATAATTTTGTTATCTAGCACATTAATGTTTTATATATTCAAAAATGTTGTTTAATTTGCCTTCAAATTACTCTGTAATTATAATAGACACTAAACATTGAATTGAAAACTTTTTGCCTCTTTGTGACCAGGTAAAGTACCAGTCAATTAAATTTGTCCAACACAAGTCAAAAAGCAAAATATTAACCTCCTTGTAAGAAAATTAGGAACATATTTACTTAAAGAACTTGTGGGTTGAACTCACAGCAAACAAATATAGTGTGAGAAACAGATGAAACAATGTTTGAAATAAATAAATTTGCATTTTTTTATGCATAAAAAACATAGCAAATCATAATAAATATTTGACCACACAACTGAAGGAAACATACATCTCCACACCAAATTATCAGTGCTGGATTTACCACTGACTCAATGTCAGTACAGTCTTGGTGAGGTGTTTGAGGTTTACTCATGGCTAATAACATGTATCATAAAAGTAAATCATTTCAAGAAATGTTATTAATATGATGTATCTAACGTCAGATGAAAGTATGGAACCAATGGCCCCTTTTAGTAGGTGGTGGGTTCCTCACTGAACAACATACAGGAGTCCCATCACGTCATCGAGAGCAATTTCAGTGTCATGCCTGAGACACAACCACATTAAATCAGATTGGTCTGGTTCTCAGCGTCCTGAGAAACTCGGACAACCATTGGTAAGGAATGTTGAACCACACATCTCAGATCTTTACCTGAGAATACGTAGGCTCATGTTTTACCAACTGGCTATAATAGTTCCCAAGCATGACCTGATGTCATTCAAATGACCAATAACTTAATTCACACATTCCATGTATTAAGAATTTAAAACCTGAATAAACTGCAGTATTACACCATTCCAAATTGGTGTATCCTTGCAATGATAAGGTCACACATGTATGACACACTAGCAAAGTAGTCAAAATTCAGTTTTATTGCCTGTCTTTCAAAAAATGACCAATGCGATATATCTGATATTATCAAGCATTCACACAAAGTTTTAAAACGAAATTATGTCTACATTGGTTGATACGCAATTTACAGTAGGAATGTTGCCTGTTGATACTTTCAAAACTTCATGTTTTCATGTTATGATTTCATCGTTTCAGGCTTCAGCATGTGTGTTGCTTTCGCAAGCAAATACACAAATGTTTCTTAAAAACAGATTCTAAAAATTATGACTAGAAATAGGAATTGTATACGGGTTAAACACTTCAACTTTTAAACATACATGGATAATGCAAAATAAATAAATACCTTCTAAAGGATAAGAACACAGACCGTATGAACGCGCACTGCTGTGACTGTTTATGGTTGCTGGGTGAGAGTAACGGGGGACTTCCGGTGAATTTTGATTGGTCGAATTCATTTTTTAATACAAATTACTAACTATATAGAAACGAAACATGTTCAAATAAATATATTCACATGTTAATAATATGAAAATATCACATGGATTTTTATTAACAGCACGCAGTTTTGTGTTTTAAACTTAGGATATTCAAGCTTATACTACCAAATGAAATAATTTTATGAAATAGTGCTATATTTCGTTTCGTTTTAATATAATTAATTGACAGTGATGGCTGAAGCAGTAGAGGGAGGGGAGGCTGGAGTTTCGTCGGCTAAATTGCCTGATTTCGACCTCCAGGTAAATCATTTAACAATTTATGGATTGTAGATCGAGTGTATGGTTGATATTCTATTTGTGTGTGGTCCTTTACGCTTCCAGTGTGAAATGTTGCACGGAGTTGAGAAGTTTGCAAATACTGTTGGTGTTGTAATTTATTTTACATGCTATTTTTACCAAATGTCATCAGTATATATTCAAACAGTGGTTGATTTGACAAGCCCATTAAAATCAGTCATGCATGTCAGAATAATATACTAGATAATATTGTATCAGGTCAGCTGTGACATGGTTATATTTTGCGTATGTCATCGATGTCACTGGGGCTGAACTGTTGACATGACTGTCATGAGACTGAAGTTGATATTTTCACCACTAAAATTGTTGCAGTTGCTGTTGAAAAGGAACCCTATCTCTGTGTTTATTGTCACTGATTTGGTGATTATCAATTTCTATAGATATCCTCATAATGAAAAGAACCCATTGAGTGCAGTCAACTAAAGTTAAAGAAACACTTGAGTAACTGTTTGTCATGTCGTTGTTTTCCCTAAATTCTTTAATATGAATTGTAAGACCGTGTAGAGCAAGGGTTGTACTATCACATATCTTATTGTTGTAAACAAATAGACTGATTCTTATGTGAGACTATTTGTGGATAGAGCTTTTCCTTCCTTATACACTGTATCTATTGTTTTCCTAATTAGTGTGTAATGTTTCTTTTTTCTTAGTTTATCTTTTGGTCAATCTCTGCAGGTTTGCCAGTTAAGATTATAATCATGTGACCTAAAGATAAAAGAAAGTTCCTTGAATATTGTATTTATTGTGTTCCTAACTAGTTCATGGGGTTTGGTTCTTCCTGTTTTATCCTTTTGGACAATCTCTGTTTGCCGAGTAAGATACTAATCACATAGTCTTGTTGTTCAGCCAGGCTGTTGTTGTCTGCACACATGTTGAAGCGTCTTGGTTAGTGGGAATATTTGTTGCTATGTTTTTCGTGTTGCTGATTTAGTTGCACAAGTCATTTATTCCCCGGAAATAAGCCAACTCCTTGACTTATTAGAGTAAGCAGTAATCTATATATCGCTGGATAAGTAATTATAGCAAGAGATGTGTTGATCTGGTGATGTTAGAACCTACAGACAAATAAATCCTAGTAAGGGATGTGTTGATCTGGTGCTGTTAAAACCAACAGACAAATAGATCATAGCAAGAGATGTGTTGATCTGGTGATGTTAGAACCTGCAGACAAATAAATCATAGTAAGAGATGTGTTGATCTGGTGATGTTAGAACCTACAGACAAATAAATCATAGTAAGAGATGTGTTGATCTGGTACTGTAAAAACCAACAGGCAAATAGATTATAGCTAGAGATGTGTTGATCTGGTGCTGTAAAAACCAACAGACAAATAGATTATAGCAAGAGATGTGTTGATCTGGTGCTGTATAAACCAACAGACAAATAGATTATAGCAAGAGATGTGTTGATCTGGTGCTGTAAGAACCTACAGACAAATAGATTATAGCAAGAGATGTGTTGATCTGGTGCTGTAAGAACCTACAGACAAAGTACTTAATGTACATCTTTACCTTCAATACTTGCTTCAAAGTTTATCATGGCATGTTTGTTTTGTTTGTGCTTCAGATTTATTTGTTACTTTTCAGTTGGATGATGATGAGTTTGACTTGCCTTCAGTTGAAAATCCTACACTTGAAAGTATCTTAAATGAGGTAAATAATTTGTATCATGCTAACACTTGGTGTCTGCAGCCATAACCTCACGCTTCCATTCCCATCTTATAGAAACTTTCTATCACATATCTGGCATGGCCTGTTCATTCCTAAGGTTCATATCATAGATATGATAACACAGGTGCAACAGTTCAATAAGTATGGTATCTTAAAAATAGTCATCCAGAAATTTTCGTGAAAGAATATGATGTCAAAGCCCGAAATCTCACAGGGAAATAAATTTTAATTTTCTCTTACATTCTGTTTGATAAATGTTTTCTGATGAACAGAATCTTGTGCTTAATGTGTCAGTTTAATTTTATCTTTATTGAGCTCCTTACATATTTGGTGAACCAACCACGTAAAGGCTGATTAAGAATAGATTAATAAATTCCATAAACACTCACCTGAAATCATTAGCAATATTTGGGACAGATATATATTTGGGTCCTGGAAAATGAGGACCCAAAGTAATGGAACTCATTAAAATTTTGTAAATGGTGTTCTTGACTCCCCTGAAAAATATTAAAGAAATTTCAGCTCATGTAAGATCCTCTCTGTAGGAAGTACATTAAGTTAAGTATATGGAGCTTCAGCAATGTTTTTTGAAATGTAGGTAATAATTTGGTAAAATTATAACCTTATCATATAAGACATGTATATAATTTTTCTATGTCAACAATTTTTATTTGAACCCAGAATTTGTGTCAGATTATATGTTTTGATGAATATGGGTTAGGATTTTTATTAAAAGCAATTAAAATGGATATATGATCAGACTTAATTTCCAAAGCTGTTGCTTTTTCTTTCTGTATTTTTTTTCTACTTATCATATGTATAGCAATGTATATAAGATGTATCAGGAAAGTGGACACTTCTGATCAGCACATGATTTGTTGTTTGTATTATCAGCCAGATGACCAAGAGTCCATGTTGGACGAGGATGAGGTGTCTATGCCTTCATCTCTCCAGCTGTTTCGAGAGTCCGGAGATACCTCATCCCTGTCAAGTCAGGACAGTATGCTATCTGATAGACCCAGGAAACGGGAAAAGTAAGTTCATTCTGTACACCAGATTATAAAAGGTCAAAGGTGATAGGGTAAAGTTAACAGACCTGGGTTAGGTTTCATAGTTTGAAATGGCTCCTTTTATATTTGCAAACTGCCAGTCTATTATTTCAAAAATAGATTTTTCATATCTATTCTTTTTAATCTTGCAAGACTTTGAACTTGATTTCACAAAACACTTTTTATACAAAGAGGAGAATGGAGGAGATCATTTTCAATGGTTGTCGTATCAGGATTTCCAATATATTGTGCTATCTGTTCACTCTACCCTATCACCTTTGACCTTGTGACCTTGTATTATATTTTCATATGAGCTCATTTGGTTCTTATAATTTTGTTGAAAATGAAGTATGGGAAATGAATACAAATTTAGGTATACATAAAATTCAGTATATGTTAAAAAAGAAAACAAGTTTAAATTAGATTGTGGTCTATAATTAATGTCAACACATTTAAGTGTATCACTCACACACTACATGCAGTCATATTCTAAACTTAATTTCCAAGCTTAACACCTATAGAAATAGTTGACAAACATTTAGACTAATGTATACGCTATGCAGCGGACCCATGGGTGCTGTGCCTCATCCTTTCTATTTTTATTTAGACTTATGTTTCAAAGTAATAATACTTACCTTTCTGATCAAAGGATTTATTTCTAGCACTACATTTTACTCTAGAAAGCCTGACTTGGACACTACATGGAAAAACTCCATATGTTTCTCTTACTCTACATGTAAACTATTGTAAGGCCAAGAGAGTAAAGAAAGAGAGAAAAAGGGCCAACCATTTGTGTCAAGTTTGTTCTTCTGAGGAGCTATTGAGTTACTTCGCCTTATAGAGCCTAAGCGCAGCAAATCTTCACAATCTTGCACAATTCACGCTAAAACTTGAAACACTTCAGATTACCTGATTAAGTTACAAAACAAACCAGTTAAACAAAACAATGGTGGGCTATCATTTGAAAACAAGGATGATGTTGAGATGTCAAGTGGCTGAAAAAAATGTTTCTCTTGTGATACTTTATAAAAAACACAAAAACAAGTGAAAATACATATACATGCAGACAAATCAAAACACAATTACAAAGTAAAAAAGGGCAAAAGACAGACAAATGAATTGAAAAGTTGTCAAGGTTGAAAATTAGAATAAATGTGAACATGTTATCAGGATATTTTGGAAGGTTTTCTTCAAGTTGGTAATGTCAATAGAATAGAAGTTCTTTATAACACAACCTTCTACTGATCCTCAGCTGATAATGTTATAAGAACTTCTGTTCTAATGTTATAAGGACGTTTAGACAAATTCAGACAAGCCTGTCTAATCTGACCCCAGGGTTGTTCCATTTTCTTCATAATCTCCATTTCAAACCTGAGTAGTCTGTTTTAGATTTCAGAAGACATTGTGTTACATATATATCACTGAACATATTCTTCAGTTCCAATGAGCAATGATTATGAATGAATTTTGATTATTTCAGAAAAAGAAAGGGAATTCATTATTCCATACATGGGTCTGTGCTGAAGCCAAGCAAACTGAAGAGTATTTCTGCCCAGTTGTTATCTGCAGCAGTAAGTGTTGTGTACAGTAATACATCATTATGATAGTTTACAATCCTTCATATCCTCAAGATCAGATGATTAAAGTCTGCATTGGAGATATTTCAATGTTCTGCTAAGTTGGTATGTGTGGATTCTGAGCGGTGTACAAAGCCCTCTTTAATATAAACAAATCAAAAAGAAGATTAAAAAGTCTTGGAGCCAGGTTTCCAACCAGTGTATTCTGCCTTCTTCTAGAGCTGGTTGGTGACATGGTTCAGCCACAGGTAAGCTGTCATTAGGACACAGTTTACATGGTGTAGATATAGTAAGGAGTGACAGTGAAGATATCTCGGACAGAAACATGTCAGCTCTAGAAGAAAGTCTTACTGCTTGAAATCCTGTACTTAGATTACTACAATGTTCTGATTATCAACCTTATTTATATCCAAGATGCAGGGAAGAGGGTTTACTGTTGTCACTATGTTGTAGTTCTCATCTGTGTATTCCTCTAAAAAATCAAACAAACAAAAGCAAAACTCTTAAGTATAATTGGTTATCTTTCAAGGTTAAAGGGCATTTGGTAAGTTTTGAAATAAATTAAACTTGTATTTACAAAAAACATGAAAATGTCTATCTGTTTCAATTTTTTTAGTCCCTTCTTCAATCTTTAATGGTTATATTTATTATGTAAAAGTAGAGACAAATGAACTTGAATTTTTTTACAACCTATTCTGATTATGTAAACATTTGTTGATTTCAGGATCGTGTAGATGCAGGGATGCCAACAGCAATGGTAAGTTACAAAAAATATGTGTAAATGTATTTATATTATGCGACCATCAAAAGATCACGTCTTTGTTTTCTGTGTACTATTTGTGACGTCAACTTTTAACAACATGTGTCGTTACTAGGCAGAGGTACTATGTAAGTCCTGTATTTTGAATTGTTCACTGTTCTGAGGGCAGCCTACTTAGTATGCAGGAACATGTCAACATTAAAGCCTGGTGAAGAACTTCCTTGGATGTTGTCTGGTCATCTATACTTATTGTTTATACAGTACTATTACCGGAATTATGTATTCTTTAGGAATACATCCTAGGAAGATTACTGAAAATTAACCAAACTGTCCACATAGATGATGGATTTCATTTTCTTTGTAAAAATATGAAAAACTGTTCTGGGTAAAAATGATTTGCAGTTTAATTCAGACTCCTAATTGACAAATTAAATTTGGATGCATGATGCAAGCAAACTCTCTACTTGGGAAAAACACAACTTAAAAGAATATTTTGTGAATAACATAAAGAGGAAAGGATTTAAAATATGACAAGATTCAATGACATCTGATTGGTCATTAAAAATAATCACTGTATATAACAGCCAATGAAAAGTGGCATTTCAAAGGTGAACAATACATCATTTGGTAGGCTATCTGTGTTCTGTTGCTGTTACAGGCGGTGTCTTCCCTGATAGCTGTAGGAACCTCACATGGACTAGTACTCATATTTGGTAGGTTTTTGTTGTTAACAAGTTTCTGTTAAATGATGAATGTACGATTACTTGGCTCTGAAATAATGATGGATATGCATGAAAAAGAAACAATTTTATTTTATTTACTGAAAAAAAATCTTTTATTTTATGAAGTGTTGATAGAAAGACGCCATGAAGTTTTGTGATTACTGTTATTTGCAAAGATGATAGAAACTTAGTTCATTTTACAACAATTATGAAACAAGCTATATCAGATTACAATAATTACATTTGTTTGTCTGGATTGGCCTGCATTGTTTCTTTGTATTGTAGGAAACTGTAGTATCTTATAAGTAGCTCTAGCTATAAGGAAAATTAAATTAAACAAGAGTATTCATTAAATTTAAAGATGGCTACTGTACTGTTCACATTTAGATCACACTTGGTCCCTTATTTCAATGAAAATTTTTTGCATAAGGAATGAAGTCTTACAGGAACTACTTTTGGATAATAAAAATGTCACACACTATAGAAAAGATCCTAATGTAAAACTCCTGCTAAAAATGGTGATAGAGATATTTTGAGTTATCTCCCCTATGGTGAAAATCTTTTGTTTATGATAGACCCCAAACAAGTTCTTAAGTGGTGTCTGGGCAGCACGGCGGTTGGCTCACAATATGGATCTGTCTCTGCCATCAGTTTTAACAGGGATTGTACACGTCTTCTCAGCGGCTTCGCCAAGGGACAGGTATGTCATTTATATTTCATCCTAACCTGTGTACCCCAGGACTCTACCTGAGTTTCCTGGTTTAATCTTGGCCTTGTGCTGGCTTGAAATTTATCTGGTTTGATTTTGTATCAAGTATTCCTGGCTAATAAAACTTTTAAATAATGAAAATGTAGGTCAGAGTGGAATTTTATTTCAATTTATTCTTGGGAACTGTTGTAGAACTAAGGTGTTGTACACAAAGTACAGGACAAAATATAAATGAATTCAAAATACTCCTGGATTTTCATTCTGAAATAAGACCCAATGCAAATAAAGTATAGAAAAATCCAATTTGGATGGTTCACACAGATATATACAACAGGTTTTGGTAGGCTCAGAAAAATAACCTTTTAGATGGAAACAAGGCAATGTAATAAGCAGTAACTTTCTATGACAGGGGTGTTGGTATTGTGGAAATAACATTTTTGAGGGGAGAGAGGGATACAGGAATTTCTTTTGACATTATTGAGATTATAAAGAAACTGATTATTTCAATACTTGTATTTATATATTACAGATTACAATGTGGGACCTTACAAATGGTAAACTTTTACGAACAATAACAGATGCTCATCCCCCTGGGACAGCAGTCCTACACATCAAGGTAAGAATATTATGTATAAGTGTGTTTTACAGACAATAACAGACGTTATCCTCCTAGGACAACAAGATGAGATATATTTACAAAGATAGGTCCTTGTTTAAGATATGTTTACCATTTCTCTTTCATCAGTTCACCGACAGTCTAGTCCTTGCTATATGTAGTGACAGTGGAGGCTCTGTGTTTGAACTGGAATTCAAGTGAGTAAAGACAACTACACTACTATACCTCTAGTTCTATGGTTGGTAATAAGTCTGCCAACTTCTGTACCAGTTTTTATAGAATTGCCAACAAATGTTATATCTTACCCCCGTAATAAGCCCATCACCACATTGAGACAGGTTATCTGTGTTGCATACCCCCAACCACCAACCCCTCCCTCTCAGGGCTTATATCAGGATAAATATATGGTATCTTCTTTTCATACTCATTTCTACAAAATCAGAAATAAAATGATTAATGTCATGTCTTTAATTAATGTTGAAATAGTCATCCCAGCATATTAAAGGATTTATTTGAATTTTTATTCTTTTTTGCCCATAAGATATCTTAGCTAGCAGCTCTTAATTTACATGTCTCAGAACAGAATTTAATGGAATAGAGATGTGGAAATCATGTGACCTGGTCATACCAAGGCCATGTGACCACAGGGTGTCAGCACTCTATCAGATCTCTATCAAGGCTTAAGCTGATGAAATATTTAATTTCAAACTCAAATTTAGGTTCAATAATACATGTATTAAGTAAGACATCTATATTTAATACCTAGATTGGAACTTTTTTAGTAATTAATAAAATTTTGTTTCATAATTTTTAAATCTAGATGATAATGAAAAACAAGTCCAGGATTAGAAATAATGAAATTATTTTATAAGTGATGTCATTAAGCGAAAAGGAAAAAGTTTTTGTTATCGGAATGGTTATTGTGACCTGACTGGTGTTTCAGACGTTTGATTGGTGTACGGACATGTGAGTCTAAGTGTCTCTTCTCTGGAAGGTAAGTAATGACTGACAGTTGTTTAGTTAAATAAGTCAATCTCTTAAACATATAAGAAAAATTAACATGTTTAATAGTTATATATATCAACTCTTGATAACTTTTATTAAAGTCTTTAAGCAATTGTTAAATATGTATTTCTTGATATCTATTCAGAATTGATTCATGATTTAATGAAATGTTGGACAGGAAGAAATGTATATTGGTGATGAGAAGATATTGGCTGGTTGGTTACAGGTTTCCTGTCTCTTTGACTTGTCCTATATTTAGCCATTGTCTCTCAGATAAATATCAGTGTTCTTGCAACACGAGAAGGCGAACTGCACCCTCCTCGTGGGATGGAGTTATCTGTCATGGTGTCTGAAATATTTGCTTGTTCTGGAAGACAGCTCCTGATAATGAGAAGATATTGTGTAGACTTTGTATTGTTAATGAAGTCAGTGCTGCAATGGGATAATGGAATGATCAGAAATCATACAAAAATTGCTTAGTGTATTATATCACCAGTTTATGGCCCTAATGACCTTTAATGTGTTGACCGACCGTTCAGACTGTACTAATAATAATAATGAGAATAGTTCATAACAGTGTGGGTATTTGAGGTGGACATGGCTCCAAATTTTTGTATTTTTTACAGCCGAGGAGAAGTATGCACCATTGAACCACTCCACATGAATCTGACTATTAAAGACCACCCCATGCAGGATGTTATGGTTATAGCCATGGCAACCATGTCAAAGGTCAGTATCTAATGACAAAGAATTGCAGTGATGAAGGTCAAATGTCAATTGTCTGTAGAAAGTCATTATTAGATGATGATGGTGCTACCATGGTTACAGTATACATGATATCTATTCCTGTTTTTTAAGTAAATGTTGCTCAGTTATATCCTTTTAAACAAGTTTGACTGGTAGTAACAGAGTCTATCCTGTTGTAAAAGATTCCTAAATGTGAAGATTAATTAAGTCTTTCGTGGCATTTCTTAGATTGACAAGATTTCATTGTAGCTTGCCAAAGAAAGGTTTGTTTTCAACGTTTGAAATAATGAAGTTTTAATATGAAATTGACTAAGATGTCTCTCAAATTGATTGTTGTAGGTTCTACTCGTTACAATACGACCACAGCTGAAAGTCTTCTTTACCCACCCGTTAAAGGTAGATACAAGTGTTGTTTACTTGGATTGAATTGAGACTTGTCCTTACTGATCAGCATAATGCAGAAATAAAGGGGAAACAGAAATTGTCAATATTCAATATTCATGCTAGGGAATATATCCTAGACGTTGAATTGAATAACAACAAATTAAAATCAAGTTATATCTTATGTTTCTTAAATCAAGTATCTTTCCATAGAAGAAAGCATTACAGAATTTATGGGAAATTTCCTTTAACTAAGGTTTAAATTTTGTATTAAGCAATGCTTTCTTACAGCCAAACTAAAGAAGTTTTCTAGGTAATTATAAGCTTGAAGGCCAGTCCTTTTGTCAGTGTTTACGTCATTGATGGTGTAAGATCTGTTTCATCTGTAACCAGTACAGTATTTAATCTATGATATTACAATTTCTGTACAGGGTTATCTAACTTACTTGCCTGGCAATATTAGTTCGAACGTTTGGATGATTGTATAATTTCTGTACAGGGTGATCCAGCTACTCTGCCCATTCTTGCCTGGCAGTTTGTCATCATACAGGTGTCTGAAAGCGACCGAGTCATTGATCCTGTTCTAGCTTTTGCCCGTGACTCCACCATACACTTCTACCAGGTAAGTTATTCCACCATAGAAATCTACCAGGTAAGGTATCCACCATACACTTCTACCAGGTAAGGTATTCCACCATACACTTCTACCAGGTAAGGTATTCCACCATACACTTCTACCAGGTAAGGTATTCCACCATACACTTCTACCAGGTAAGGTATTCCACCATACACTTCTACCAGGTAAGGTATTCCACCATTCACTTCTACCAGGTAAGGTATTCCACCATACACTTCTACCAGGTAAGGTATCCACCATACACTTCTACCAGGTAAGGTATTCCACCATTCACTTCTACCAGGTAAGGTATCCACCATACACTTCTACCAGGTAAGGTATTCCACCATACACTTCTACCAGGTAAGGTATTCCACCATACACTTCTACCAGGTAAGGTATTCCACCATACACTTCTACCAGGTAAGGTATTCCACCATACACTTCTACCAGGTAAGGTATTCCACCATACACTTCTACCAGGTAAGGTATTCCACCATACACTTCTACCAGGTAAGGTATTCCACCATACACTTCTACCAGGTAAGGTATTCCACCATACACTTCTACCAGGTAAGGTATTCCACCATACACTTCTACCAGGTAAGGTATTCCACCATACACTTCTACCAGGTAAGGTATTCCACCATACACTTCTACCAGGTAAGGTATTCCACCATACACTTCTACCAGGTAAGGTATTCCACCATACCTATACCAGGTAAGGTATTCCACCATACACTTCTACCAGGTAAGGTATTCCACCATACCTCTACCAGGTAAGGTATTCCACCATACACTTCTACCAGGTAAGGTATTCCACCATACACTTCTACCAGGTAAGGTATTCCACCATACACTTCTACCAGGTAAGGTATTCCACCATACACTTCTACCAGGTAAGGTATTCCACCATACACTTCTACCAGGTAAGGTATTCCACCATACACTTCTACCAGGTAAGGTATTCCACCATACACTTCTACCTACCATACACTTCTACCAGGTAAGGTATTCCACCATACACTTCTACCAGGTAAGGTATTCCACCATACACTTCTACCAGGTAAAGTATTCCACCATACACTTCTACCAATTTAGGTATTCCACCATACACTTCTACCAGGTAAGGTATTCCACCATACCTCTACCAGGTAAGGTATTCCACCATACACTTCTACCAGGTAAGGTATTCCACCATACACTTCTACCAGGTAAGGTATTCCACCATACACTTCTACCAGGTAAGGTATTCCACCATACACTTCTACCAGGTAAGGTATTCCACCATACACTTCTACCAGGTAAGGTATTCCACCATACCTCTACCAGGTAAGGTATTCCACCATACACTTCTACCAGGTAAGGTATTCCACCATACACTTCTACCAGGTAAGGTATTCCACCATACACTTCTACCAGGTAAGGTTCTACCAGGTAAGGTATTCCACCATACACTTCTACCAGGTAAGGTATTCCACCATACACTTCTACCAGGCAAGGTATTCCACCATACACTTCTACCAGGTAAGGTATTCCACCATACACTTCTACCAGGCAAGGTATTCCACCATACACTTCTACCAGGTAAGGTATTCCACCATACACTTCTACCAGGTAAGGTATTCCACCATACACTTCTACCAGGTAAGGTATTCCACCATACACTTCTACCAGGTAAGGTATTCCACCATACACTTCTACCAGGTAAGGTATTCCACCATTCACTTCTACCAGGTAAGGTATTCCACCATACCTCTACCAGGTAAGGTATTCCACCATACACTTCTACCAGGTAAGGTATTCCACCATACACTTCTACCAGGTAAGGTATTCCACCATACACTTCTACCAGGTAAGGTATTCCACCATACACTTCTACCAGGTAAGGTATTCCACCATACACATCTACCAGGTAAGGTATTCCACCATACACTTCTACCAGGTAAGGTATTCCACCATACACTTCTACCAGGTAAGGTATTCCACCATACACTTCTACCAGGTAAGGTATTCCACCATACACTTCTACCAGGTAAGGTATTCCACCATACACTTCTACCAGGTAAGGTATTCCACCATACACTTCTACCAGGTAAGGTATTCCACCATACACTTCTACCAGGTAAGGTATTCCACCATACACTTCTACCAGGTAAGGTATTCCACCATACACTTCTACCAGGTAAGGTATTCCACCATACCTCTACCAGGTAAGGTATTCCACCATACCTCTACCAGGTAAGGTATTCCACCATACACTTCTACCAGGTAAGGTATTCCACCATACCTCTACCAGGTAAGGTATTCCACCATACACTTCTACCAGGTAAGATATTCCACCATACACTTCTACCAGGTAAGGTATCCACCATACCTCTACCAGGTAAGGTGTTCCACCATACCTCTACAAGGTAAGGTATCCACCATACACTTCTACCAGGTAAGGTATTCCACCATACCTCTACCAGGTAAGGTATTCCACCATACCTCTACCAGGTAAGGTATTCCACCATACCTCTACCAGGTAAGGTATTCCACCATACATCTCTGAAAAATACAAAACAATCCATGAAGTGTTCAGCTTTGATATCAGATTGTACACTCAGTTTTTTTATTGATTGATAGCGAACAACATTTTCTTGTTTTTTATCCAGGTGATATGTAACAATGGGCAGGATATCCGCTGTTCTGGGCTACAGAAGATTACAGTGCAGTATAAAATACTGGGCATATATGTAAGTGATACAGAATTTAATTAAATTAATTATAAATAATGTATACTGTGTTGGGGGTAGATAAATTTGATACAGGTACACATGTGTTTTAGTAAAATGAATCTCATACAGGTATCTTCAAATAGAATTAATTATAGACAGGTATGTAATGTCTTGAGTAAAATTAACAATAATCAGTTATATAGTGAACTTGAAGTAAGAATTACGTACAAAGTTTACATTGTGTAGGATAAAATAATTAAAATACAGGCTTACAGTATCACGGGAAATAAATTACATAGAAGTAGACACGCTTTGAGGACAAAGAATATTTCAAGATACATATCTTATCATTAAGTAACTTAACTAGACTGATTTATCAAAAACATATTTATTTCTACAGTGGCTGAACACAAGAACACTTGTTGTCATGGATACTACAGAAAAAATGCATGTGATTGACGTGAGGTCAGAAGAAGAGATTGAGGTTAGTGTGATACCATCAGTTTCAATTCATCCTGAATGGTTGAAGGGATAGGGAAAATGTACACTTGGTTGAAATGACGAAAAATAATGAGATAAATTCAAGTTGTTAATGTTTGTTGATAATTAATGTACCTTATAAATGACACTTTGAAGGAGTCCGGATGCTTTCCTTGATTTGTCAATCAAAGTTTTTTTTCTTTTTTTTTTTTGTCAGGTGCTGGACGTATCCGAGGTACAGATGGTGTACAATACCAGCTTCTTTAAGTCCCTAGCAACTGGTGGAAATGTTAGCCAGGCTTTGGTAGGTAGCTTCACAAGATTTCTGTAAATCAGAAATTAACTTCTGGATTGTTTAACATGCCAAATACTATAAATGTTGTCTTTTTTATTCTTTTGTTCAAATTTTCATTGTTTACCAAAAACTTACAACTAAAAGGAAGTAATCGTTTTTCCTCGCAGCCATGAAATTGACTTCAAATTTGATTTTCAAGGTATTCCCATCCTTTGATCTTTGATAATAGCCAAAAAGCAACCTTTACAATGGCATGAGATTATGGGAGTTTATGCTGTCGTGTCGTTCTTGCTGTTTGCCAACAACAAAATGACACCACAACCAAATTGTATCCTATTTATGTGACACAATGGCCTGTGCAGATAGGCGGAAACTTCTGCTTGGCAAACAACAGGAATTCTTGCCAATCAACAACTAAGACAACTAAATGAAATAGAATAAATCTTTGTCAATTTAATGAGTTATTATGCAGGATTTTGAGAGTCTTGGAAAATCCTGATTAATGCATATCACTGAACAGAAAACTCTATTGTAGGCTTTTGCGGGTGAGCGAGCCTGTTACCAGACATTGGTCAGCCATGGTGGTCAGTTGTTTTTACTTGGAACCAAGACTGTCCATGTGTATGCTCTACGAAACTGGAGAGATGTAAGTTTCCAATCTTTCTTTGTAATATAATAGCCAGTCACTTATAAAGGATCCAGTTAATTTTGTAAATCATACAAGACTACACCACAAAAATGTTTTATAAAAATGTTTTGATTTCAAGGAATCAAATAATAAATTGCCTGATTAGTTTCCCTGGATACAAGTTAAATGATCAGTTTGGTATTTTATGTTGATTTAACAGAACTTTTGAGTCACTCCTGGTTTATTATATGTAGATCTTATATTGTATGTGTTATGACTGTTGACAGAGAATAGATGTATTGGTGAAACAGAACCGATACCAAGATGCCCTGGTCCTTGCCTTGTCCTTCTACGAGGGAAAAGCTAAAGGTGTCGTCGGACTGGTGGGATCTCATCGCAAAAAACAGGAAATGGTGTCTCATCTCGTAAGTATATCAATTCATTTTTGACATGTTCAAATGTACACCTTGATCTTGTGCTCGTAACTTGTACAAGGGCAGGATTAAGGTGTCTGGTGGGTCTAGTGTGATCTCATGACAACAAACTGGAAATGATGTCTCACTTTGTAGGTACATTTATACAATCTAAATTAGGGTAAGGTCATTTGTGTTGTTGGTATGATAGAATTACATTGTTGGAAACAAGCAATTATTGTTCACTTGTAGATATATATATATATATATATATGTACATGTAAGTAGGTCAAGTAACTTCTGTAAGGGCAAGGTCAGATGTGTGGTCGGTAGGTGAAATCCAAAAAGATATGTTACCTGAATGTTTAGGAGTGTATATGAAGAACAAACTTGTGCAAGCCCTGAGTTTCAGCTTTGAAAAGAAAAATCCAGAAAGAAAACCAAATGTTATGCCATAACTTTTCATGATTTCGTCTATGATAGGGTTTCAAATTTTAATGAGATCCTTGAATAGTAATTAATATTAGTGTTAAGTCTTCATTCCTGATTGGTTGTCCCAAACATGTATCCATGACTTTTTTTCTATGGTAACAGATGCTGGACTTGCTTTTTGAGTTTGTTGATCTCTCCATGACCATTCTGTGTCCAGACCAGGGCAAGATTGAGGAATTGGAGGAGCACTATCAGGTAAGATATGATAGGTCAGAATGGTGTATAGGGGCAAACAAGAAATTATACAGAAATAATTGATCTGATTTAACAATTTATATTTGATAAATCTTTATTTCAGCTGTAATAGATATGTGATCCTTACCTTATGGTTTACTACACAATAATACTATATCATTATTTTAATACATTTCATCTTCATTTTAATGTAAGGAAATATTGGGGTAAAATAACTACAATCTGTTTATCACATTTACTGTTATTTATCCAAGTAATGTTGCCTGGGGATATAGAGGTGAGATGTGGCCGTCAGAGACAATCTCAGGATCATACTTCAACAACATTCAAAATAACAAAACAACAACAATGTTTGGATGTCCTGGTCAAATTTTTATTTTTGAAATTTACAATGTTACCATGGAAACACATTTTAAAATCTTTCCTATCTTTTTTATCTGTTTATTTATTTATTTTGTTTTTTACTGTAGATTGTAATGTTTAATTCCTTGTGAATGTAGTTACAATATGTCTGATATAATCTCATCTTTGTTATCAAGCTAAAAGTGATGTTGTGTCCTAATATTACCAGTCCTGTTATCAAGTATATACAGTGTAAGTAGAATTGAATTTATTTTCTTTATAGGGAATCGTTCCTGTTTGTGTGGACTACTGCTTACACCTTGACAGAACGTAAGTTTAATTTCCATTTCATCGTTCATTTTATTTATATCATCCTCTTAAGTATCAGTAGTAATATTTATTGATTGAAATTCTTTATCATCATATGATGAAGTTCTTGAGACCACTTGTAGGTCCTCCGATGACCACCCTAAATATTGGTTGGAGAGTAAAATTGATATCTGTTCTCTATGTTGGATCACTTGGAAATTTTCTCTTTTCTTTCTTCAGAGAAAAAATGAAAAATTTCTCTACTGTAGGTTACTACTGTTTCATATAAAAATTTATTTTTTGTAAATTCATGTTAAGTATAATTGTGAATAAAGTATTAATGATATAAAACTGATACAGGCAGATCAGTCTATATCATTTAGTGTATATGATGTATGAGGATTCTGGAATAACCCTTGAACTCTGTGTTGACAGTGACATCCTGTTTGGGCGGATATTTGAGAGGTTTTCTGCAGACACAATAGCCCATGGTGTTTTCCTCGAGTGTTTGGAGCCTTATATCCTTGCCGACAAGCTCACTTCTATCCCACCCACTGTGATGAAAGATTTTGTTGATAACTATGAGGGCAAGGGTATGCTGGAAAATGTGGAGGCTTGCATTGTCCACCTGGAAATCACTAGTCTCGATATACATCAGGTATGTGCAGTTCTGTATTAAGGGGAGGTAACTTGGTATAAAAACTAGATAAATATTTCTTATATTACCACTAGTTTACATTGAAGCAAAGGAAATTTCAAACCTCACTTTGTTTGTAGTAGGGATGACTTGGTTGATAAATAATGCTGTGAGTCTGTGTTGTGGACATGGACTATATTCTATTATTCTGTTGTAGATGGTGAGTCTGTGTTGGGGGCATGGACTATATTCTATTATTCTGTTGTAGGTGGTGAGTCTGTGTTGGGGACATGGACTATATTCTATTATTCTGTTGTAGGTGGTGAGTCTGTGTTGGGGACATGGACTGTATTCAATTATCCTGTTGTAGGTGGTGAGTGTGTTGGGGACATGGACTGTATTCTATTGTAGGTGGTGAGTCTGTGTTGGGGACATGGACTATATTCTATTGTAGGTGGTGAGTCTGTGTTGTGGACATGGACTATATTCTGTTATTCTGTTGTAGGTGTAGAGTCTGTGTTGTGGACATGGACTATATTCTATTATTCTGTTGTAGGTGGTGAGTCTGTGTTGGGGACATGGACTGTATTCTATTATTCTGTTGTAGGTGGTGAGTCTGTGTTGGGGACATGGACTATATTCTATTATTCTGTTGTAGGTGGTGAGTCTGTGTTGGGGACATGGACTATATTCTGTTGTAGGTGGTGAGTCTGTGTTGGGGACATGGACTATATTCTATTATTCTGTTGTAGGTGGTGAGTCTGTGTTGGGGACATGGACTGTATTCTATTATTCTGTTGTATGGGAGTCTGTGTTATATTCTATTATTCTGTTGTAGTCTGTGTTGGTGACTATAGTTATTCTGTGTAGGTGTAGAGTCTGTGTTGTGGACATGGACTATATTCTATTATTCTGTTGCAGTCTGTGTTGGACTATAGTCTGTGTTTGGACTATTCTTTTATTCTGTTGTAGGTGGTGAGTCTGTGTTGGGGGCATGGACTATATTCTATTATTCTGTTGTAGGTGGTGAGTCTGTGTTGGGGGCATGGACTATATTCTATTATTCTGTTGTAGGTGGTGAGTCTGTGTTGGGGACATGGACTGTATTCTATTATTCTGTTGTAGGTGGTGAGTCTGTGTTGGGGACATGGACTGTATTCTATTATTCTGTTGTAGGTGGTGAGTCTGTGTTGGGGACATGGACTGTATTCTATTATTCTGTTGTAGGTGGTGAGTCTGTGTTGGGGACATGGACTGTATTCTATTATTCTGTTGTAGGTCTGTGTTGGGGACATGGACTGTATTCTATTATTCTGTTGTAGGTGGTGAGTCTGTGTTGGGGACATGGACTGTATTCTATTATTCTGTTGTAGGTGGTGAGTCTGTGTTGGGGACATGGACTGTATTCTATTATTCTGTTGTAGGTGGTGAGTCTGTGTTGGGGACATGGACTATATGATGCTATTATCTATGTTTACAATAGAGGTATGAATGATTACACCACCCCATTAGAAGATCTTCTGTCCACACTCCGGGCAGCTGTGGACACTGGCAAACAGTTGTCTGGTAAGTATAACTCTTCGTCCTTATAGCTTAAAATCAGGGGACTATTGATATCAGCACACAGCTTTCTCATAACGTCCTTAAAGTCAGCTTTACTCATTCTTTCAATGTATATTTCTTACTCTGTATTTCATTGTTATCAGCATTTGTGATGTATATAAGGTGTTTAAAAGGGATGTTATTCTCATTTATAAAACTCTGTCAGTGCTATAAAAGTCTATATTATTGTAAGTGATGGGAAGCAGAAGATGAGGGTTCTGTCAGTGCTATAAAAGTCTATATTATTGTAAGTGATGGGAAGCAGAAGATGAGGGTTCTGTCAGGTATGAGTTTAGTTGCTGGCTTACAGTTCTAGTTCAAACTGGGATGTGCCTGCAAAAAGTGAGATTTCAAGTTCTTTATCAACTCTGGTGAACTGATGTTTCCAATAGGATAGGTGTGATTGAATGATTTATTTTGTTTTTTACAGACAATCAGATAAGACTAGGAAACAAACTACTGGTATACATTAGGTAAGTATAAAATTGTTTTTGATACCTGTTAATAGGTATCACGTAAGGAGAGGGTGTAGTTAGGTCAATGTTCTGGTTCTTATGTTTGTCCATACTGAAAAAAAGGATTCAAGATGTCTCAGTGAATTCTTCAATAAATTTATTTCTGATTTATAGCACAGTCACTTGACTCAAATTCTATACCTGATTTGATTGTGGTGACTGTTGGACAAAGTTAAAAGGTCAGAGGTTACACTTCATTGCTTTTGAACCTTGTATACTGTAAAGTCAGATATTTTTGGGGGCTCAAATTTTGTGGTTTTCCAAAACAAACATTTACAATGGCATTTGATTTGATGGATGGACCTCGACCACAAAATTAAATTGTATTATAATCCATGTCAACTTTCATCTGTTTAACATTTCTTGGACATTTAAATGACACTGTAGTGGATTTAGAGTACCCATGAAATCAACAAAATAACGGTTATCAATCAGCACTTTTATATCCATTTCTACACAACATAAGAAGGTTAAGGTTTACATACTATTTATTATTTAAAACACTACATAACAAGATTTGTCATAAAGAAATACATTTGGCTCTTCTTTGGGGCTACTTACCATGTGTATACCTTATAAAAAACATTCCCATATCACCTTAACTTCCTAGTAATTTTACCTGATCCGATACTTAAATGAGAACATGTTATTATCCGAATGAACATGTAAAAATAAGTTATTATCGGAATAGGGAAAAATAATCTGGATGATAGACCTTGTTCGATCCAAAATTAGATTTTGAAAGTTTTGAATACTATTTCATATTTGTTGTTCTGTAGTTGCTGTTTGGCTGGCCGAGCCTATCCTCTTGGAGACATAGCTGAGAACTTGGTGACAGATGTTAAAGAAAGTGTAAGGATTTATTCTGCCATTGTTTTATCCTTATTGATGTTCTAAAGAAAATATTCCTCAGGGAAAAAAGGAACTGCCTTTCATCCTCAGTTTACATCTGATAAAAATATTGTTCTAATTATTTAAAAGATCTCATTGTATAAAATCATTTAAGTTATTTGATTTAAATAATGGATATTTCAATAAAATATCTACCCCACCTCAGGACTCCAGGTTTTGTTTAGGACTATTCCAGTAAAACATCTACCCCACCTCAGGACTCCAGGTTTTGTTTAGGACTATTCCAGTAAAACATCTACCCCACACCAGGACTCCAGGTTTTGTTTAGGACTATTCCAGTAAAACATCTACCCCACCCCAGGACTCCAGGTTTTGTTTAGGGCTATTCCAGTAAAACATTTATCCCATCCCAGGACTCCAGGTTATGTTTAGGGCTATTCCAGTAAAACATTTATCCCATCCCAGGACTCCAGGTTTTGTTTAGGGCTATTCCAGTAAAACATTTATCCCATCCCAGGACTCCAGGTTATGTTTAGGGCTATTCCAGTAAAACATCTACCCAACCCCAGGAATCCAGGTTTTGTTTAGGGCTATTCCAGTAAAACATTTATCCCATCCCAGGACTCCAGGTTATGTTTAGGGCTATTCCAGTAAAACATTTATCCCATCCCAGGACTCCAGGTTATGTTGAGGGCTATTCCAGTAAAACATTTATCCCATCCCAGGACTCCAGGTTTTGTTTAGGGCTATTCCAGTAAAACATCTATCCTACCCCAGGACTCTAGGTTTTGTTGAAGGCTATTCCCGTAAAACATCTATCCCTCACCAGGACTCCATGTTAAGTTAAGAGCTAATCCGGTAAAACATCTATCCACCCAGGACTCCAGGTTTTGTTGAGGGCTATTCCAGTAAAACATCTATCCCCAAGGATTCCAGGTTTTGTTTAGGAATATTCCAGTAAAACATCCATTCCACCCCAGGACTCTAGGTTTTGTTTAGGGCTATTCCAGTCAAACATTTATCCCACATCAGGACTCCAGGTTTTGTTGAGGGCTATTCCAGTAAAACATTTATCCCATCCCAGGACTCCAGGTTTTGTTTAGGGCTATTCCAGTAAAACATCTACCCCACACCAGGACTCCAGGTTTTGTTGAGGGCTATTCCTGTAAAACATCTACCCTACCCTAGGACTCCAGGTTTTGTTGAGGGCTATTCCAGTAAAACATTTATCCCATCCCAGGACTCCAGGTTTTGTTTAGGGCTATTCCAGTAAAACATCTACCCCACATCAGGACTCCAGGTTTTGTTGAGGGCTATTCCTGTAAAACATCTACCCTACCCTAGGACTCCAGGTTTTGTTGAGGGCTATTCCTGTAAAACATCTACCCTACCCCAGGACTCCTGGTTTTGTTGAGGGCTATTCCTGTAAAACATCTACTCAACCCCAGGACTCCAGGTTTTGTTTAGGACTATTCCAGTAAAACATCTACCCTACCCCAGGACTCTTTTAAGTTTTGTTTATGGGTACTCTTGTAAAACATCTGTCCCCCCAGGACTCCAGGTTTTGTTGAGGACTATTCTGGTTAAACATCTACCCTACCCCAGGACTCCAGGTTTTGTTGAGGGCTATTCCAGTAAAACATCTACCCTACCCCAGGACTCCAGGTTTTGTTTAGGGCTATTCCTGTAAAACATCTACCCTACCCCAGGACTCCAGGTTTTGTTGAGGGCTATTCCTGTAAAACATCTACTCTACCCCAGGACTCCAGGTTTTGTTTAGGGCTATTCCTGTAAAACATCTACCCTACCCCAGGACTCCAGGTTTTGTTGAGGACTATTCCAGTAAAACATCTACCCTACCCCAGGACTCCAGGTTTTGTTGAGGACTATTCCAGTAAAACATCTACCCTACCCCAGGACTCCAGGTTTTGTTGAGTGGTATCACCTGTAGAATTTAACCGATAATTTGCTCAGAAGCAATAGCCAGAAAATCTAACCATAAAAACAAGTGATTTATTTCAGGATCCATGGTCAATGAGATGTTTTACTGAAATAGGCCTTAAGTAAAGTACGTTTATGATATAAGGTAAAGATGTATTTAGGATCCATGGTCAATGAGATGTTTTACTGAAATAGGCCTTAAGTAAAGTATGTTTATGATATAAGGTAAAGATGTATTTAGGATCCTTGGTCAAGGAGATGTTTTACTGAAATAGGCCTTAAGTAAAGTATGTTTATGATATAAGGTAAAGATGTATTTAGGATCCTTGGTCAATGAGATGTTTTACTGAAATAGGCCTTAAGTAAAGTATGTTTATGATATAAGGTAAAGATGTATTTAGGATCCTTGGTCAAGGAGATGTTTTACTGAAATAGGCCTTAAGTAAAGTATGTTTATGATATAAGGTAAAGATGTATTTAGGATCCTTGGTCAAGGAGATGTTTTACTGAAATAGGCCTAAAGTAAAGTATGTTTATGATATAAGGTAAATATGTATTTAGTAGTAAACATAATGATAATCTGAAGACGTAATTACTGTATCATTATTTATTTATAGATTTGTTTTATTTTGTAGGTTTATCAATGTGTCACATGTTTACACACAAAGCAGTTCTCAAAAGGTATGTCGTAGATGCTTTAAACAGAATATCTACTTCCAAAACTTAAGTACCTAGCAAAAAATATATCTTTCATGGATGTTATCGGTCACCTGTGCTGAGAATTGTACAGTTAGCACACAAGTGATTAGAACTTTTCAATACAAAGTCAGAAATAGATGTGGTATGTTGAATTAAGTACAGCTGTTTTGACCCTGAAAGACTTGTCAGTAATGCTAAGGGTCTGAATTGTTGAAACCTCGAAGGCAACGGTGGAAAATGAAAATATATCTAAATAAAAGTCCAAAATCTGTTGTGATCAGATTTACCCACACGAAGTTAAGTGTTACTTGTACTAAGTTGAATATTACTTGTAATAAGTTGAGTTGTACCTGTACTGAGATGAAGGTTACTTATGATAAGTGTTGCTTGTTTTAAGTTGAGAATTACATATGTGTTTCTCTCTTCCTCCAGATGAGCCTGCCTATCCTCACCTGAGGACACTGTTACAGTTTGACACCAGGGAATTTCTCAATGTTCTAGCACTGGTAATTATTCAATTATTTTATTTCTGTTTTTTTTTTTTTTATTTGGAATTTTTATTACTTGTATTCTTTCATGACATTTCAAAGTTGATGTTTAATCTGAAAACTGTAACGGTTTTGGAAAAACTAAAAAGGAATTGCTACTAATATTATTAAAGTGTTATTTTGTTATCAATGAAGGTTTTTTCAGACTTATTTTAATGTATAAAAGATGTACAATAAAATTATATGTTAATAAGTAAAATTCCATTAAGTTATGGGTAGGCCCATTTGAACATTAGTGTGATATAAACTAAGGATTAATTGGAAAAAGTAATTAATTTGCCAAATAATCTGTTGTTTTTGCAGGCCTTTGAAGAATCTGAATTCAATAGTAATGAAGGGTAAGTGCATTATTTTTTTAAACAATATTCCAGATATTAAATAAAAGTATGAATTTATGGTTATTTTTTTTGGGAAACAAACAAAATTGTTGCAAAACTGAACAAGGTCAACTTAAATTCTAATAAGCAAAGTATAAGGTGGTTCAATTTTTCAAAGTTGTAAGCAGTTATCTTCTAGGTCATGTGTTAGCCTTCTGTTCTGGCTTTGACATACTTTGGTCCCCCTTACATAAGTGTCTTTAAACAGTGTGTTGCAAACATTTGAGAGAATTTATGGTAATCCATGACTATCATTGACTGACTCAGGTTGGTTAAATTTGTCTGATGAGAGTGTTTGTCATCAAAATATCTTAAGATATGAAGAAAATGTGATGTTAAACACCTACTGCTTCAGAATGTTACAGGTATTGATTGTTGTGTTATATAGGGTACAGAAGAGGCAGAGAATGGTAGATGTCCTGTTACAGGTCATGGTGGAGAGTGTTGGCTTCACGGTAAATAATCTGATCCATTTTTGTTTCAACAGATGACAGATTAAGTTGAATGATTTTAACCTTATTTAAGGAATAATGTTTCACACTGTTGTGCAAAGATGTTATATAATTGTGAATCATTTCCCTTGAAATAGGTTATGTTGAATCTAAATATAAATAATTCTCTATTTCTTGTTTGTGAGTGAAATTGTAAACAGTTACCTCACCTTGGCCTCGCCTATTATTTTTAAATAATTCATTTTAGTGAGTTTGTTTTTTTTTTCATTAACTTGAGGGTAAATTTATCTACAAATGTACATCACTTTAAGTTGAAGGAAGTTAGTGAACAAAATATTTCATATATTTCCCTTTTATTATAAGTTATCTCCCCTCACAGCCCACACAGGTTGGAATCCTGTTCACCTTCCTCGCGAGACAGATGGCACGCCATGAGAACACAATTGTTGTCAACCGTGTGCTGTTTGATCAGGTTTGTATCTCGTGTTATTGTAATGATATTAGTTAACCACTAAAGACAATTACGATATACAGCTCAAACTATAATAACAACTTGTCTTTTATGAAAACCAGTCTATAGCAACATTGTCTCCAGTGAAAACCAATTCTTAACAACCGTTTTCAGCAACAGGCTGTCTGTACTGACTACCTATCTAAAACAGACACTCGTCTTAAATTCTAATACCTGTTCACAACATTCACTTGTTGTTAGGGACTACCAACCTGTTTTTAGTGTCTGGCTGTCGTTAGTTACCACCTTTCTATAACAGACACCTGTTCACTACATTCACTTGTCATAGGGTCTACTAAACTGCTTTTAGTGTCTGGCTGTCGTTAGTGACCACCTGTCTATAATAAACACTTGATATTTGAATACCTTTTCACTACAACCACTTAATATCTTCGTTGTTGTCTTGTTTGTAACACTTTCTGTCTTCTATAACAATTTTTTGACGACTACTTTAAAAGTGTCGTTTTCATAATTTTCTATTTTTACTAGCTTTTTATGAGATTTATTCATCATTACCTGTAATGATCATCTGTAGACTGTGTAACCTATCTGTATTGTTTGATCTATTAAAACCACAGGTGTTAGAGTTCCTGTCCAACCCATCTGATGAATCTCGTCACGAAGAGAGACAGCAGGCACTGATGGAGCTGTTGCATGCTGGGGGACTGCAGCAGATTGACGAGGAACGACTTCTATATCTGGCAGAAAATGCCAAATTGTGAGTCAACAGACAAGAAATTTTGTTCTTTATTTTAATTTGAAATGAAATAATAGTACAGGAGCTATATATACATGTAGGGGGTGTGATAGGTCAGTCGGTTTGAGCATTGACCTACTTTACCACATGTGAAGATCTGTGGTACATAGTTTAACACTCCCTACCCGTAGTAGTTTATGTTTCTCTGGTAACTGTGGCTGTAGACCAGTCTATGCTGCCATGGTTGTGTCCTTCGACAAAGCACTTTTCCCTAGACGCACTTGATTATATGTGATGTGCCTCTCATATGTTGTTCAGTGAGTTAGTCACTAGTTGCCACTAGGAGACCCTTAATAGTGATCCTGGCTTTTTATGGAGCAAGATACACTAAAGAGAACAAAATGTACACTTTCATACATACGTATCAACATGTTTATTTAATGAAAATAGGAAAGGAATGTCCCTAGAAATAATTCTCGTCAATGATACAATAAAAAATAAACTTACTTCTTTTACCTTCCAGTCAATTGGTGAATAAGTGAAAGTGAAACTTCATTTTAAGAGGGATCATTCTTTAACCTAATGCGGCTCTTCCCCTTTGGCTCTTATTGTGTGTACTGCATAATATATTACATTTTGATCATTAATCAAGATTAGATTGTTGAGCTTCATTGTCTCTAGGATTTCTTGTCAGATTTAAGATTAAGATAGTTACTCGCCTTAGTGAACTTGTTTAGTGAACTGCTATACATAGAATGCATTTTGTTACAAACTCACTTTACATTTCCTTGTTACAGTTATCGAGTTTGTGAGCTTCTGTATGAAAAGCAACACAAGTACGGCAAAATCCTGTCCTGTTACCTAAGGGATTATTCTAGAAAGGTAGGTTATCAAAAGGGTAAGTCTAGAAAGGGAGGATACCTGAATGGTAAGTCTAGAAAGGTAGGTTGTCTGAAGGGTAAGTCTAGAAAGGTAGGTTGTCTGAAGGGTTATTTTAGAAAGGTAGGATGTCTGAAGAGTAATTTTAGAAAAGAATATGTCTGAAGTGTAAGTCTAAAAAGGTAAGATATCTGGATGTTAATCACAGATTGATATGCCTAATTGAACATTACAAAGGTGCAACACCCAACTTCACAGCCATTAATTACAACATACTGTTTAAGGGTCCTCAAGATTTGTGTGATGTACATCAAAGAATCAAACTATTCTCCTTGTCTTATCCACATGGTGTTGCACATAGAACTTTTAATTTACCCATGAAATGTTCCATGTTTTTGTAATTGTAAAGAAATATGATTATTATGGAATTTTCAAATCCAAGAAAGTCTATAAGTCAGCAGATATAGTCATCAAGCTGTGTTCATTTTGTTTCACTGTACTCCACTTTAGTTTAACCAATATGGAAACTTATGTATTTATCCATTTTATTTACAGTATCATTCATTCAGTTACATCAACAGCATAGTGAATAGTGAAAGATTCACGGAACTGGAGAAGGAAGATGTCCGACAGGAGGCCATGGCTAATTTACAGGTAAGTACAGGTAGATATGGCTCATCTACAGGTAAGTACAGGTAGACATGGCTCTTCCACAGGTAAGTACAGGTTGACATGGCCTGTCTACAGGTTAAGTACAGGTGGACTTGACTCATCTACAGGTTAAGTACATATAGACATGGCTCATCTACAAGTAAGTACAGGTAGATGTGGCTAATTTACAGGTAAAGTACAGGTAGACATGGCTTGTCTACAGGTAAGTACAGATAGACATGGCTCATCTACAGGTTAAGTACAGGTAGACATGGCTTGTCTACAGGTAAAGTACAGGTAGACATGGCTCTTCCACCGGTAAGTACAGGTAGACATGGCCTGTCTACAGGTAAGTACAGGTAGACATGGTTCATCTACAGGTAAGTACAGGTGGACATGTGTCATCTACAGTTGAGTTCAGGTAGATATGCCTTATCTACAGACGAGTTCAAAAAGACATAGCTGGTATGCAGGTAAATGCAGGTAGATTTGACTCCTCTATAGGTGAGTAATGTATAGGTAACTATGACTTGTCTATGGGTAAGTCATGTGTACATTAACTTTTTCAAGGAGTTTTAGCTTATAAGAATTTCAGTTCTATTCCATCCTGTATATTGATGATTGTTTCTAAACATCATGTTAGATAATCTCAGTGACTTGGGCTCTCTTGGCAGGATATCTGAATGACTATGTCTTTATTTTGTTGTTAGGAGTTAGTGGCTATCGACTGTAAACAGGCAGCACAAATTGTGATCACAGCATTGTCCAGCAACCTGTCAGCTGTGGTGAAGGAACTAAGCAACAATCCAGCTGTTCTGTTCGAGTTTCTACAAGGTGTCATGTCCTACAGGTATGTATGAGATAAAAGTGTATTAGCTGTGGTGAAAAAATTGTATAAGTCTACATGAATATCAACAGGGCCAACGGTATGTAATTGTAGATAAAACTGTGTTACAAATCTGAGTGTACTGTTCAGATTGTTATAAAAACAGGAGGAAAAGTACTTAAGTTACTTAAAAAATAAACTTGGCTTTTGTTCAATAAGATTTTTTGTAAATTGTATGAATTTGCAATTGATATCTTTGAAGGCACTTTAAGGGTCCGAGGCTGGACTGCAGAGTGTTTGACACATGCAGTTTGAGGGGTTCAGCAGTACCCGTCCAAAACTAAGTTGCTGAATATCATTAGTTTTTATAATTTTTGGCATAAAAAGTAGGGTCAGTGCACTCACATATTTCCCAGGAGCATTGTGCTATAAAGTATGAGTGAAATGGATGGTATTTCAATTTTAGTTAATTGGTTTATGCTTGACAGGACCATCCGAAACTCTGAATTTTGACTTTTACATGAATCAGGTTCAACATTCGGCACAAGTGCATTCATGTATAGTGGGAAAAATCCAGACCACCTGAATCATTTCAACAGGGTTATGCTAATGCAGCCTTACTCTATAATATAAACTGTGTTTTAGAGTTATCTCCCTTAAGGAAAAACTGAGGCCTGTTTGTTGACAAAACTTTTTCGTTGACATGTAACACTTTAGTCTTGTAAAAGTAAGACAGACCTTTAAATCTTTGATAAAACTTGTCAGCAGGCTGAATAGTAGGCCTGTCTTTACTTCATAAATGAACAAACCTAGTCTGGCTGGTCAAACTGACTAATGAAAACTGGCCTGTGATTTGTTCTGATTAAGTTGTCTTCTACAGGGTGTTTTACTCATTTATCTCCCTTTAATATAAGTGCTGTTTTGCGTAGGGTACATTAGACTTACCTCCTGTTAGGTTTTTGTGTTTTGAGAAGAACTCTTTTGTGATTATATAGTAATATGTTTTACATAATGGAGCATATGTCCTTAAGTATGGGTTACTATTTACAGGGATTCCATGGGCAGTGCTATCCACCAGGAAAGACAGGTCGTAGTAGAGCCTCATATATTTGAGTTGTACATTGACCTAATGGCAAAGCATCGCCCCAATGATGTGTATAGTTACATCAAACTCAACGAAGGCTACAGACTGGAACAGACACTAGAGGTAATACCAGCTGATTCATGCAAAAATCATTCAGAATATGTATATTTAAATTATACTGGAGTTGTGAATAGATTGTTGGCAAGTTAGAATAGCAAAGAATAATAAAAAATAAAAGTTTTAAATCAAAATCTTTAACTAACGTTTAATATAACAATGATTACAAATAGTTCAACTTTATTGCATATAAACCGGTTCTTTTAAGTTAATGCAAATTTATTTTATACAGATATGTAGAAAGCACAAGCTATCAAATGCCACAGCTTACCTGTTGGAGAAGGCCGGAGACATTCAAGGAGCTTTTGGCATCATGTTAGAGGTAGGTAGGAGATAAATGTTGTGTTTCACTCACTTTGTCTTGTTACTCTAGAAATTTTGTATAGTTGTTATCAGATGATTATAGAATTCCTATCCTTTACTTGTAGAATCTACAGGCCAAGCTGAAGAATGTGACTGATGTATTACTTGGAGCCACAGTTCAAAAGGGTAAGTTCTGAAAAGACAAAGGAAACCTACATTTTGAAATTAACCAATATTCTAATCAAATGCCAAACAATCATTTTTATTATTTTTCATCGTTTTGTATTGATATTAAATTTCTCAAAAGTTCTTATTTTAAGTATGAAAAATGAATTCAATGTAATGATAAAAAATGAGATTAAAATGTATTTTTAAGTGTTGTAAAAATATTGTTGTCATTACAACAGATGCTAAAGTGTTATTCTCTGAGGTGCAGCTTGAAGTGGTGGTTATTGTTCAGCTCTGTCAGAGGAATTCTGGAAAAATGGATGAGGGACAAAGGGAGGTAAGCACAATATTTGATAAAAGATAGATAAATAGATAGATATTCAATGGTTTTTGAATCAGTTGAAGTACCAAAAATATATTGGAATTCACAAGGCATTTTTTTTTGCTTTGTGAGATGTTCTCAGGTAAGTTTGAATTGAGAAAAATCTTCAACAAGTTTGAATATCAGCATTCTTTAAAGTCAAGGTCACCTTGGCAAACAGATGATAATTTCATCATTATCAGTGTTAGTTAATTTTAAGAATTAAGTGCAGCTTATTATGTTTTGCAGTTACTATGGTTTCCACTCTTAGAAACCATGATGTCTCCCCAGAGAAAATTGAAAGATGTGGAAGAAAAAGAACTACTTGAAGGTATAATTACACATGGATATAAATATTTGAAAAGTTAAAAATCAGAAACTTACCATTACTGTTACTACTGTGCCAGCTCAAATAAAAGTTTAAAGTCATGTTTTCCTTAATTTCACATAAAAAATAATTTTTTAATCAAATTTTTGTGCAGAAAAACACGTTTCAGCTGTGTGTTACCAATTGCTGCTAACTGTCTCCATAATTTTCATATTGAAATCTTGTTTTGTACATGCCTTCAATGAAAATATACTTCAACATATATGTATAGAGTGAGGTCTGGTGCAGTCAGTCAGATTTGTATCTGTGTTTTAGAATTTAGGCATTTTAGTGAGTCAAAGTAAAGATGATGAGGCAGATACTTTGTTATAGGTAAAGGATTCTATAACAGGATTTATGATATCAAATCTTTAAAATAATTTTTTATTTTTTAGAGTTTAAAGAGCCTACACAACATGTTTTAACAAGTATGAGTGAATATATACAGCTACCAGCAATCTTACAGAAAATAATGCAGGTAAGTATTAAGTACTACAGACAATTTTATCATCACATAAGATAAAGAAATGAGCATTAATTTGTAACGTCACATTTGATTGGCCAATAAAGCAGTGTAATAAACTATCAAAGAAAAGAGACCATTGTGAATGTGATTGAGTTAGAAAGGTTGACTTCAATTTCTTTAATGTTATGTCTCTATAACATACAAAGATAATTTAAGTTAGTCCTTCATTAATCAACTTACTGGAAAATTGTGTACAAAAATAAATTCACAAATGTAATCACCAAGAATTAACACATAATTAATTAACATAGATATAGTACAGTATAACATAGTCTGCTTCACTTTTTACTGCAAACTTGATTTGATGTGGAAATTTAAAAGTTAGTCACAACAAAAGAATGTTGGTTTTTTATATCCTGCATCTGATTTTTGTCCTTGTTGTTTCTTTATATGAAAAGTTGATTTTACCAACATCAAAGAGAAAATTTTATCTTTTGACAGCATAGGAACATCTTGTCAGGATTGAATTAATCAAAATCTGTACATGAACAATTAATATTTAAAAGTAAGGGATTCCAACGATGAGATTCTTTCGATGAAAGTTTTTACTGTTAAGGCTGTGTCATTGTTTCGTGAATTTAAATGTACCATTTCTGCTTTTAAGTAATAAGACTCCTATTAGACATTTACAGTATCGTTGTTGTTATATCACTTTGGAATATTTTACAAGGTTCTTGAGTCACAAGAATTTCCTGAAATTTCTCCATGCCCTTGGCATTTATTGAATAAAACCATACAAGATGGTTTTGGGGGGAAAATGTTTTTTATTTATAAATGACATTTTTCAGGATCCTGCCTACAGCACTGGCAAATTTGGTGAGGTCAAAGATTTGATATTGGGCATGCTGGAAAAGTATAACTATGAAAAGGTAGGCCACTGTTCAACCTTACTCTAGTGATTTTTGTAAAGGTAGAGATATATAAGTAGAATGCAGACAACACAAGTTTATTTTCCTAATTTTATTTTAATGTTCTACTCTGAAGTTTATCTATACTGAAAATGAATTCTGTCTTCAGAAGTAGTTCAATAGAATATATACAATATTTAGCCTTACAATGAGTCATGGAGGGTATATTTCTCATCCTAATGTCAAAAAAACTCCATGCACATGATTACAAATATCAGTTCTTGTACGAGTTTGACTTCCATCCAGCCTTATGTGGTGAAATACTAGGTCACTGTTACTAAAAATAGAAATCAACAGAAACTTTGTCATTGTTTTAAAGGCTCCATTGCTTCTCTGATTAGTACTATACTTCACACATGTGCTCAGAAAGATAGCTTTTTTTTACAAATTTTGACCTTCGGTGGTTGAAAAACTAGGTCAACTTTACTATAGATAGAAATTGGCTGAAATTTGGATGTAACCAATCTACAGGCTGCAGTTTGACTACCAGGAGATTTCATTTGTGACATTAATAAAACACCAAATACCTTGTCATCCATAAAAACACTTACCAGCAGCATATCAAAGTCACCTATCCATCTGGTTGTTTATTAGACCAGAGACATTTATGTCATCTAATCTGGCACCATTTTCAAGTATTACACAGACCACTCTGTCATTTATGCATTATTTAAATAAAAGATGCACAATTCTACTCATAGTAATGGTAACCTACATTTGCACAACAGAAGGTACAAATGTGAACACATACAAGAGATTGTGTTTATGAACATGTGTAGGTTTCTATTAACTCTTACCATGTGGTACAAATTTGAGTCGCAAGGGTATTTTTGTTGTGTGGGATGGCTTGTTATATAATATCTTCTTAAAATTAAAGTTTTATTTCTAATTATGTAGTGGAATAACTTTGCTAAATGTCTCTAATACTGAGTTTGTATTGAAACATGTGTGTTTCATACAATTCTTTGTTGATGTAAACTGAAGAGGTACAAGACATACTAACTAGATTTGATGTGGGAATTGCATTTTGATAAAATTACTCACCATGTTTATTCATTTATAAGCCCACTCATTGCTGTTCAATAGAATATCAAATGTTTTGTCCTTGTCGTACATTATCCTCATTGTTAATAATGTGGTAACAAGTGTTGGTTAAAAATTGTTGTGAAATTTGAAGGGTTTTCACAAATATCTTTCAAAAAAAAAAAAAAAAAAAGTTTAGCAGGTGGATAAAAATCGTTCCCAATGATTCCTGTCACTTACGATTCACTACATGAAGATCTGCTTGTTATATTTCGGTAAGATTTTCCATGGCTGTCAAATTACCATTGAGATTTTCTCTCTTTTTTTCAGACATTAAGAAAAACTTGCAAGAATTTATTAAATCACGACATCCATGTTCACCTACGAAGTCTGACCAATGTAGCAGCCAAGGGATTTGTGACAAAGGGAGATAACTGCAATTTATGTAACAAACCTTTTGTGTCGCAGTCTGATGTTGATAGCATTATTGTATTCAGGTATGTGGCTGACGACTGGTATCACTATTTCTTCAACTTAATGAGATACTTATGTTCCCCTAATTGGTGCCCAGTTATGCTTATTTTCTCCTCTGGCGACGGCAGAGTGGGGATGGTGTTCTGTTAGTACGTATATATGTATGTTTGTTCACTTTTTGTCATCACTCTAGCACCTTCATCTCTTAACGGATCTTAATCAAACTTCACATATTGGACAAGTTTTATGATACCTTGAATAAGTTCATGTTTCAGTATGCCAGGGTCAACATAAAGGTCGCCATTACTATTTATGTAAAATCTTAGATGCAACACAACTTCATTATAAAAGGAAACAATGGGAATTTGTATAATTTCCAATGCATTGTTTAATTTTAGAACAGATCATAAACCAATATAGTTATAAGCAGCTTTCTTGAAATTTGAGGGCTGACATTTGTCACTGCTGTTTCTGAGTTGTTGTTCCTAATTGCCCCTAGCTTGGCATGTTTTATTTTGGGAATTATCTAGAAAAAAAAAATGACTGAAAGTTGGCTATTTAGGCTGAGAGAGTTAATGTTTATTGACACTATTTCGTAGAATTTAAGATGGAATCTTGATTTAATGATATATGCTGGTTCCTCATAGATCCTCGTTAAATATATGGCAATTCAATATTAAATCTAATTGTCCGTAGCTGGGAAGTTTATCTAGGAATGTCACTTTTGTTCATAATGTCTTTTCTAAAGCTGCTTGATAATGATTGTATTATAGGTGTGGCCACAGTTACCACCTTGGATGCCTGAGGTCTGTGGGCTCGGTCCACTTGCTGGAGGGCGAGGAAATGTGGGCATGTTATCTGTGTAGTCATACGAAACGAGGTCATGTTCACAGTAGTCGTTTCCATCGCTCACTTTCCAACACTGCACAATCTGGACATCATATACACAAGGACAAGCCAAAGGAGGTAGGTCATCTAAAGGACACAGAAAAAATATTTGAATCTCAATGGCACTGAATGATATAATCATCGCAAGGTCACGGAATTATATAATCATTGCAAGGTCACGGAATTATATAATCATTGCAAGGTCACGGAATTACATAATCATCTCAAGATCACATGATTACGCCATCATCTGAAGGTCACAGATTTACAACAACATTTAAAGCTTATTAGATTATGCTATCATCTGAAGGTCACAGAAAAACACCTTAATCTCAAGGGCACAGAATTATATAATCACAGAAAAACACCTTAATCTCAAGGGCACGGAATTACATAATCATATCAAGATTACATGATTACGCCATCATCTGAAGGTCACAGAAAAACACCTTAATCTCAAGGGCACGGAATTACATAATCATATCAAGATTAAGATTACATGAAGGCCACAGATTACAAGGGCGGATTACATGATTACGCCATCATCACAGAAAAACACCTTAATCAAGGGCACGGAATTACATAATCATATCAAGATTACATGATTACGCCATCATCTGAAGGTCACAGAAAAACACCTTAATCTCAAGGGCACGGAATTACATAATCATATCAAGATTACATGATTACGCCATCATCTGAAGGTCACAGAAAAACACCTTAATCTCAAGGAATTACATAATCATATCGGAATTACGCCATCATAATCACAGAAAAACATCAAGATCATATCAAGATTACATATATAAGGTCACAGAAAAACACCTTAATCTCAAGGGCACGGAATTACATAATCATATCAAGATTACATGATTACGCCATCTTCTGAAGGTCACAGATTTACAACAACATTTAAAGCTTATTAGATTATGCCATCAATTGCATCATCCCAGGATTACAAAATTAAATCACAATATCAAATTTATAGAATTACATCAAATATCAGACAAAATTATAAGCCTCTTCATCGAATTTTAGCAGATCTGTAATCTGAAGGGTAACGTTCGAGATGTCACTCTTTCAAGTTCTGATTTGAATAGCTTAGCCATGATTAGAAGTTCAAAGCAGAAGGTATATTATGAGAGGTAAGGAAAGTAAGGTGGTTACCTAACTTAACTGACCTTTGACCTTTCAGATGTCCTTGGATCCTCAACATCTACAAGCTATTGATTATGTTCGCCGATCTATGAGAACCCCATCAAGGGTAGGTAACTCTGAATTATTTTTCACTATTTCCACTTTTGATGGTTTTTGATGTGTTAGAGACTTTATCTCATAAAGATGCAGGCCAGTTGAATTTTATCATTTTAAAGATGATAACATTTTTGGGAATAATCTTTTCATGTTTATCATTTAGGAAAATCATTATACAGATAGCAACTTTAATAACATTAACTTTGATGCTTTACAGATTGCCATTTTGAATGAGCTGTCAAAACCTGACCAGTCATCACGGACCAGCAGAGCAGGGTCTACTATATTTAATGAGGAGAATTTCCGACTCAAGTTAGCACCACCACCTGCGATGGAAGTCTCCTGACATCTTGTTGAAGAATAGTTTTACAATGTTACATTTCATGACATTAAACACATTGGTGCATCATCGTTATACCAGTGTCACACGAACACATTAGTGATGTAAACATGTGACAGAACTGTGGGATATGTGCAGTACAGGATTGTAATAGTGTTAATCACATACCCAAGTACACTTTTAGCTGGCTACACATCATAGGGAACATTCTCCACCTGATCATCTGACCCTGGCTGTTGAGAGGACATTAACAAAAAAACAAGGTCAAAATTTAGTTTTTGAATCATGAAAATAATGATATTTGCAAAATGGGAGTGATGTTAATATCGACCATCGTATGTATTTTATACAACAAATTAAGTCCAAGATCAAATGTGTAAAGTGCTTGTAAATTTTTGATTTGACGAAAGTTTTCTTGGGATATTTGGCTATAACACATCCAGAATGAAAAATTTTGTACTGCCGAGATGTGATGAATGTTTACAATATGTGTCTATAGATATATCTGAGATAGATGAATGTTTACAATATGTGTCTATAGATATGTCTGAGATATTTATTTATTGTCACTGACTGAATCATTGACAGAAGAATGTGGGAAAGAGACAGTTTTCCATTGTTAGAAATGTCATGTTTGTCATGAGATAGAATCATGTACTTTTATCGTCCTTGATAATCCAGGGGTTATGATCACTTTCACTCTTCACCCCCCTGGAACATGTCGTGGCAAAATTGAAAGCACAAGTGAAGTAGTTTGATTGGTTCCAGGAGAAAAACATTGTCCTAATTACAGTCTGATATGCTCCATTACTATATATGGTTATGCAATATTTGTACATCAAAGGATCAAACTAGTCTCTTGCTCTTATCCACATGGTAATATACAGGGAACCTTCCAATTTTCTGTGAGATGTTCCAGGGGTGAGATGTTCCTGGGTCAAGATGTTCCTGGGGTGAGATGTTCCAGGGGTTAGATGTTCCTGGGTCGAGATGTTCCAGGGGTGTGAGATGTTCCAGGGGTGTGAGATGTTCCAGGGGTGAGATGTTCCTGGGTCGAGATGTTCCAGGGGTGTGAGATGTTCCAGGGTACGAGATGTTTCAGGGGTGCGAGATGTTCCAGGGGTGCGGAGAGTGAAAGTTATCAAACCCGTAGAGGATGGTACTGTGATAATGAAGTTTTATGGATATAATACAATCATGTTAAAAATCTTTTAAGTGTTGATTTTATTTTTACTGTTGGTTCTTTAACAATACTTCTAAAAAACACAGGTTTCCTTTACAGAATAAGATTTCTAAACATCTTCATGATGGTTTTTTGTCAACATATCAGCTTGAAGGGCAAGTTAGCTGAAGATGTGTCACAGCCTTTAGTGTCAAGTTATCCTTTCAACTTCTCAATAACAATAATGAACAGGGTGAAGATATTTGGCCTGTTACATGTAGGGATAATGGGCTACCAAGTTGGTTCAAAAGTATGACCTTGACCTACCATCAAGGTCACAGGGGCCACTTTTTGAGCAACATCCATGTCAAACTTCACTATCATAAGTAAAGAAAGTCTTTTGTCTTAATAAGATATATAACTAGCGCACAAAGGGGGATAAATGAAACAGGAGAAAAACTCTTCTTATGCTTTTCAGTTCCCATGATAATGAATTTAAAAAGTCAAAATTCCGTCATTTTTAATTCACAATAAATTTCAAGACTAAATATGCACAAAAAGTGAAATTCAATAAAAAGATATGAGAATGGATGTAGTTTCCTAATTAATACATTAAAACTATGACTAGATTTCTCTCTGATTAGGAGTTACAATGATCAGTGATTAACTATCTGATAAAATATGTGGTGCCATTAAAATCTAGGAAAGACTGATGGAGCTAGAAATGCCCACAGAACACTGTA